GGTTATAAACTGTATGTGGATCTAAGCAAGACCTTTAACACACTGTCCCATTACTTTATATACTGTATTAATGTTTGTGTATGTGAGAGAGAGGTAGTGAGGTAGAGAGACCTATCATATCAATGGTGGTCTGTTTGGTGTGAAGCAGAGCTAAGAGACCATTCAGTTGTCAAAATAAAGCATGTGGAAGTGTACTGTGGGTCACTGCAGCCCTCTGATTTGGTTTATTAGTGTGGCCTGTGCGGGGGGAGGCAGCCTTTAATGTATACTGCTATATACAGCAAAAAGGCCAATGAGGTCTTCTGAGAGAGTTTCAGGAAAGATTTGTGCTCTCTTACATTTGTCAGAACACAAACCAGGGAGCTCATGGTCTCTAAAAATGAATAAATCACACAGACAAATCCGGAAAAAGATCTCACCAGTAGCATTTTGAGACATTGTGAGTCAGAGCATATGGCTGCTCAAGGATGAAAGCTAACCCCAAGGCTGGTCTCGCCGAGACTTGGTGTACTCCTTTAAGAGTACTGGCTTACTGCTGTGAACGTGGGCAATGTCTCATCCAGTCCACCCTCACACAACTAATGAAATTCCTGAAACTTATCTCCCACCAATAAGCATCCATCTATCACAGCAGAGCGCAAAGGGAGCACTTCCCGTGAGGGTTTGACACCCAACACAAAAGTACCTCTATCAGCTCTTCACAGCCCCGAAATATCTCTCACTGCTTTTCTATTTGGAAGCCACAGGGCTGGCAGCAAAGGCAACTCTCTCTCTCTCTCTCTCTCTCTTCTTCTGTAACCTTTGACCTTGAACTTAAGTGAAAATAGAAAAATGTTACATGTTTCTTTGTCTGCGTCCGGGGGTTCCATGCTTATGGTCAGTGTGAACAGAAAGGTATGAGCATAAAAGCCGTTCTGGCAGTGCAGTGGCCTGTAGTGTGAGCAAACACAACATACAAAATTATTAAAAACTTACTCTGCCCATCTTAAAGGTGCCCGGTTTTTTTGTAAGCATACAAAAGTTCTGTTTACTTCCAGTGTCCCTCCTCAAGTCAATACATACTTTAAATCCTGCATTGTTTAAATTCATGTTGATTAGCCAGCAGTCTCCTCTTCTGCCTTTGGTGGCACATTGCTACTTTTCTTGGAGCATTAACATCACCAGTAGCTCATTGGCTCAATAAAGTGTGAAACCTAGGAATGTGTATCATGTCACCCATGCACGCACCTGCATGTGATAAATAAAACGTGGACCCATTCATGACAAATTGCTCGATAGGTGAGAAAAACTCCACATGGTACCTCTAAGTGTCTAAAGCTGCAGTTCCTCTAATGAGAACAAGATAACTCAGACTCAGTGAAATTTAACAGAAAACTAAAACTGCTCTTCTTTTCTTTTATTCAGTCATATATAAATCAAGGGTCTAATGATTTGGAGTGGCAAATTTGTGATATTAGGCTGTAGAAATTAAACTGACTTGACCTATTTTGTTCCACAATAGCTCTTAGAGGAGGCTTCTTTGCTCCATTCAAAACTGTTTGATGCTATTATACTCAACTGTGATGGTTGCACTCTGTTCATCCCACCTCTGCTCCTCCCGGCTCGTTGCCTAAATAATTTAGATATTGTGGCTTTGGTAATTTAACAAAGATGGCAGTGAGTGGTGAACCCAGCTTAAGCTTCAGAAAGTCCCTTCAGAAATCTATGAGTGATGTCACACACACAATGTTTTTCCACAGCCTGTGTGGCCGTCTGTATAATTTAATACTCTGAGCATGAGTATGACTTTGCAAAAGTCTTAGCATGGTGCACTCGAGTCGATAATCTCTCAGGGATCCGTGTATGTTTACAGTCCCTACAGCCACAGTATATTGTCACTGAACAATGGGTCAATCCTTAACATGGTGAGCCTGAAGGAGGACTCAGGACTTTACCCAGAGAGAGGAGGAGGGAGAGAAAATGTACCTCCTATTCTAACCCACACAGCTCAGAAGACATTAGGCTTTGCAGATGTACTGTGTGTGCAGTGTTCACATGCGCGTGTGTGATCACCACCCACATGGATGAGCATCCATCATGATCCTTTACATGCTGGTCAGGTGTGCAGGCCACCCAAGTCTTCCGTCTGTCTCTATGTCTTTCACACACTCACACTTGTTTGTTCCTCTATCCCTGAAGGGACATCTCATTGCCATAATGCATTCCCTATCCCCTTACCCTAACCTTAACCCAATTGTAACCCGGACCCTAAAACCAAGTCTTAACCCTCAAAAAGCAGTATCTACCTCAATTTTTGTCCCCACATTGACACGAGACCCCATTGTTTACAGTGTGAGTCCCCACCAGGATGTAAAAACATGAAACACAAACACACAGTTTCAGGAGAAGGTGTAATTTTATGAGCAGTTTGCTGAAATCAGTAGAACTGGTGCAAAGCCTGCTTTAAATCAAAGTGACTGACAGAGTGGATCAGTTTCACATCCAAATGACATCCTCTACTCCTCGATCCCTCTTGAGCCAGATGTGTATCATCACACCCCCCCCCTTTCTCTCCCTCATTACACACATATTTTCCGTGCCTTTTCTTGGCTGATTGAGACTTCAGTGAGTCACCGTGGCATTCCTCCTCTGTGGGCCAGAGGCCCTGGTGTCTTCCCTTTGGTCTTGACCCTGCACGATGCAAAGACTAAACACAAAAATAGATTGGATCACAGTCCACTTCTTGTTACACTGTAGAGGCAGTAAGCGGCCGGGGGCTAAGAGATAATAAAAGCAAACATAAAGGTTGATAAGGTACAGTGTCAAATTTCATTCTATTGTGCATATGTCATGTGCACACATTTTTCAGTTCAAATAAACATTTAAATAGGCCTGCTCAAAAAGAAGACAACGTGCACCACATTTTCTGTGAGAATATGTTTTGAAGATGAAGATATATATATATATATATGCACATCTGGGCAGATATTTGACCACATACAAACGATGAGTACAGACTGACTGACTCTGACTGTATATTCTCAGATTGTTGCATTTGAATATGTCACACATTGCCTGTCAGATTTGTTTAGTTCAGTTATCTGCCGTTTCTGTTTTTTAGTTCGTTGTATTCTTGTCCTGTCTGCTTATGTTCTTGTTAGTATGTTGTATTCATCACTCTGATCTGTTCTGTATTATTTTGATATAATCTGTGCCTGCCTTAGTTTTTTTAAAATTCTGTTTCTGTCTGATGTTTGTTAATAGTTTCCGTATCACCGTGCTTGGGTTCTATCTGTCTTCTTGTGTTTGGTATTGTTTTGGTATTTTTCTTATTTCTGATTTGTTCCATTTTAGTTTCATGATCTATCTGTTCAGTGTCCGTTTCCCTGTTTTATAGTTGAGCAGTGTTTGTCTGTTTACTTGGTTTATTCTGTAGTTGTCTGGTGTTTGAATCTTGCTTCTGTCATTCAGTTCAATTCAAATTAGCTTTATTGGCTTGAATGTGGAACAACAATATTGCCAAAGCATCATACAAACTACATAAGAACACTCAACCCCAGACATTTCATTAAACAAGTCATTAAAGCGTAAAGTATGTGTGTTTGTGTTAAAAAATAAAATTAAAAAAAAATATATATTAAAAATTAAATTAAATAAATAAATAAAACAGTATGTGAGCGTGTGTGTGTGTGTGTGTGTGTGTGTGTGTGTGTGTGTGTATTAATAGACAAAAAATTTAAAAAAAATTAATTGATTTTGAAAATTTGTTTCCACTGGTTGTCCTCACTTCATGGCAAGAGGAGACATATTTTGCAGCAATTATTTGACATTTGAGTTTCTGTGTGTCTGATATAAATTTGAATTCGGGGTATATTTGGGAAATGTTTGCAAAGTGTTTTTGTCTTAGTGTTTTATATTTAGGGCATGAAGTTAGAAAGTGCAGCTCTGTCTCTACCTGTCCTGTGTTACACTGGGAGCAGAGTCTCTCCTCTTGTGGTAGCCAACTCTGTCTGTCCCTTTTCTATGGCCAGGCTGTGTTCACTCAGTCTGTATGTTGTCAACATTTTTCTTAGTTTAGGAAATTTTATTGTGCTCAGGTAATTTGCCAGTGTGAATTCTCTTTTTAGGGTCAGACAACATTGTAATTTAATTTACTTTAGCTTGTTGTGCTCTGTCCTGTGTCATGCCCTTCTCTGCCTGTTCTGGATCTGTGTCCTGTTGCCTAATAACAAATTAGATTAGGATTCTTTGTTCATTTTGGATTATCTGCTTTGGTTTCTTTGGACTCAGCCACTCAGCTTGAAAGTTTGCTCACTTTTGTTTTGCCTTAAGAAATCATCAAACTGTCCTCAGCCTGAACCACACACACCACTTGTGACAGAATACTTGTTAGAAGCCTGAACAGGTAAAAGTCTTCAGTATATTGTACAAGAAAAACAAAATGTTAGAGAAAAGTGAGGAAAAACAAATAGACATTTGGATATAAGAAGAATGTTTTTTCTTCTTTCCTATTGTCTCATGACCCACATTTACAGCACCAGACAGACCTTGACACCTTGGGGAGGGGGCTCTGACCCCTAAATCAGGTCTTCCAGCACCAATGTAGTATGTTTATTTTACATGGGGTAAAGGTCGAAAGGTGCGAAAGGTCATCACATGCCAGGCAATGTGGGTGCATTTAGACATTAAGGTGCCTAGTGTTCACACTCCACTGGGCTTGTAGAATAAAAGTGCTGCAGATGTTGAGGCTCCCATGGCTCACAATGGAAACGCCTGAGAAACTATTGTAGAGGGCAGTGGAACTAATTCCTTCTCAGTCCGCTGAAAGTCCCATTGACTGAGCCTCTCCTCCTGCTGCCTGGCTGGGCTACAGCCTGCTGTGTACCAGCTCACCTCCCGACTGGGCTGCTGCATGGACGGGCTTCGCCCAGTTCAGCCTGGTCCCGCCCATATGCGAACAGCTTTTGACACAACTGGAGAAAAAAAAAGAAAATAAGTGATTTTCAGATCCCCCCATCCCCCTCGCTCCCGCCCTCCTCCTCAGCATCAAGTGCAGCCGGAGCACAGTGTCCCGGCTGCGACTTTCTCTCAGCCTCTTTGAAGAAGCAATGAGGAGAAGGGAGCCGTCGCCCTGCTGATACCAAGACGTCTGGGATGCAGTAACACAAGTTTGTTTTCTAGTGGGATCATATTTGTATATTTCCAGGGAAAACAAACAATACATTGCGGATTTGGCATATCCATCAATCGGATGCAAGCAGGTAGGAAGCCTTTGTCATTTTGCACAATTATTGCGATCTCTTGAGGCGACCATGCAGGAAATATGTTCTTTATTTGTTTGTTTTTTTAACGGTTTAGGCTATTTAATATCTTTGGATTAATATCTTTGCAATTTTAGTAAAACCGATTTCTTTCCTTTTGGATTGTTGGATTGACTTTTGGATTCCCCCCAGAGGGTTTTAATACGATTTAGTAGCCATTCTTTATTCATATCTATATTTTAACCATTACTGTATTATTATTATAACTATTATTGATTTAAGTTAGGTTATTCAGTGCATCAGAAATATTTTTAAAGACAGTTTGCATAGATTCCTTTAAAATAAATAAACATGTCTCTCTGGAACAGATGTGGAATTACAGATGTTGAAAGTTTCATTGCATATCTAATTGAATGGGATATTTATTTTCATAACAATGCTAATGGTGATATTTGTTATTTTGGAACCAGGCTGAGAATTTTAAGAGGACATTTAGAATTTGAAAATTAAATATTTTTTATTGTAGGTTAAACTATTGGCATTGTCTAGTCCCGTGTTTTTTCTGTTAAACACTAGAGACTTCTGAGACTTAAATGTAAAAGTTGTGAAAACAAGTCAAAAGGAATGAAGTCACCTCTTTTAATAAATTTGGTGTTGAACTAGACAATACATAGTGACCCATGCTCACTGAGTTGGAGATGGAAAACTGCGCCACAGCGCCATCCTTTGGTCACTTGGTCTCCTGTGCGCTTGTCTTTTGACTCTCTCCACTGAGAGATAGAGCGGGCACCGATTTTTGTTCACTCAGCTGACTGCAGTGGAAAATAGTTCAAATGAGCGCCTTCTGTGACCAAGAGCCATCATGGCAGCATATCAGTTTCCACTCTATGCTGAATAATTGCAGGCTTTCTTCTGGATTTGTGTTATGTCTGAGTCTGGCTGTGGGAGTGTGAAGTGAACAGAAACTAAGGGTCATTTTTGTATTCTCATTTATTGAAACTATTTTACAGCTCTTGTGGGCTTGTATTTTATTACCATCTGTTTTGAGCTGGTTAGATGTTGGCCAATGGGTATGTTTTATTGGACACTGTGCAGTAAACTTAAGCCAAACAGTCTCGTCTGCAGTTGGGCTCAGTTGGATGACAATGCACTTACTGACAAACCTGGAATTTGTAGTTTCAACTAAGAAAAGGGGATTGGGCAGTATTTATGCAATGGATGAGGCATTGATATGGTCCACAGGTGATGCTGTACATTCTCCCTCTCATTTTCACGCTGCACTAACATCTAATTGAAACGAAATGTGTGTCTGTGGACCCCCTGGCCAATCTAGGCTGCCCCCGAAAGGTTTGTCCTCCAGCTGGAAACCCCAGATGTCAGGCTGTCTGTCACACACCATTTAAACCCCTCAAGCAGCCAGAATTAATGGCTTTTCACTCTGGGCTTCTGTTTGAAATTAACTGTTGGATTTGCACTCCTGCTGCAACGCTCCTCAAGCAACGGCATCCAAATGCTTTTCTCCCCTTTTGTTTGGAATGGCCTGTGTGACCTCATCACCGCAGACATGCTGACAAAATGAAGCCTACTCTGTAGTTAAGTGATGGTCTGCTGAATCTATTAAAACGTACCCAAATTGTAATGTTCGTCGTAGGGTTATCAAGCATATTGGCAACATCTCACTTACACAGTAGAGGCACGAAGCAGCAAGCTGTCTGCAGCCTGCGCAGTCACCATGTTTGATGTCATTTGTATGCATGGACAAGGAGTGGAGCTAAGGAAACCAGATATGGTCATTACTGAAGGAGAAGGTTAACCATTGTGGCAAACCGCCAAGCCACTGTCTCAGCCCATTCAGAGGATCAGTGTTCATCCTCTCCTCCTCGCTGCCCGCAGCCTCCAGCAAGACACAGAGGACATAAATCTCCTCTTAACCACACAGTTAATGTTTAGTATCAGCTCCAGAGAAATGTTTTAAGTGTTATTTCTTCATACAGGCCTACAGAATGGCACAAATCCTTTTCTGCAAACTTTTTGGAGAAACTTTAAAGAACTACACTGGACTGCATGTGTTGTATTGCTGCTGAGCTGCCCTGAGTGAGGGGCTGTGGATCAGTTGGATGTCTCTAATGTTCCGGACTAAAGTGCCACCGTGTGGCTGTAAATGGATCTGTATTTATTTTATCTACCTGGAGTTGTCAACATAGGGTATAAGACATTCTCAGTTCAGGGAAATCCATGTTCCAAACAAGATCATTTGTCTACAATACAGTGCTGTATGTCTTTTCCTTACTAAGCTAAGGTGAATAGTACTAAGTAAATATCACTAAATTATCAGTGTCACAAACTCAATCCATAGCATTTTGCAATCATGATGTGTGTTGCAGATAGCTGGTCGTTTAATGAACAGAAACTATTTAAACAAGCAACAGGCTGAATTTAGACTGCATCATAATATTAAGGTGTTATGAAAGGTTATCGCATGCTGCTCTGTTTGAATGGTGATATGACTGCTCAGCTTAAATAAACCAGGGTAAGAGTCTACAGCCTTACAGCAGCTCTTTGTGGCTGTACTTAGGCACTGATGTGCTAAATGAGAATATGTTCCCACTTACAAAGCTGACATGCTGATGTTTCACAGGTGTATAACATTTACCATAGTACATCTCAGATTAGCGTGTTAGCATGCTGACATTTGGTAATTAACACTAAACGCAAAGCATAGCTGAGGCTGATGAGAACGCCAACAGTTTTGCTTGTATTTGGTCCTAAACCAAAGTACTGGACATATTGAAATTTTGACTGGATGGCGCTAGATATGGTCAGGTGATCACCAAAGTGATTACAATTCACCCTGAGGGGCACAAGAATGTGTATGCCAATGTGTACAAATACAGCAGATACCATTTCATGGTAGTCCATCCAGTAGTTGTTGAGACATATCACTCAAAACCACAAATGTAAACCTTGTGTTGGTCTTGAGGAAATGTCAGAGGATCAGGATCAAGCCATTAATGTCTGTATCAAAGTTCATAGCAATTCATCACCAGATCTTTCACTGGATAAGTGAAAACACCTGCTGTTGGCGCTAGAGAAGTTCGTCTAAATCATTAAGATTTATCCTCTGGGCACCATGGATATCTGTACCAAATGTTATGGCAGTCCATCCAGTCAAAAGTTAAATGTTCAGCAACTGTAAATCTTTGTAATAGAGATGCAAAGATACAAAGTTTCCCTAAGTCTTCCTCTTTTCCTTATATTTTAGAGCCAGGCCCAACTTAACAATGGGCCCCATACCCCTGTGTGTCCTGTTCCCTGTGACGGTGCTAGCTGTGGTGGTGGTTGTAGCTGCTGAGGAGAATGCAGTCGACGACGAGTATACCTGGCCCCACTGGAAGGTGCCTCTGGTAAGGAAAAGACGCACTGTGCCTCTCACCAGCCCAAACTTCTCAGCCCATCGTCAGTTGGAGCTGAGTGGGACCTGTGGGATTGAGTGTCAGCGTCGCCTCCCTGCCACCTCTCTGGACGACCTGGAGCAGTTCCTGTCCTATGAGACGGTTTATGAAAATGGTACACGCACGCATACCTCTATTTCTGTGCAGGGCCTCAATGAGCTGACTACCTGGTCCAGAAACATCTCATCTAGCTCCCGCCACAGACGAGAGGTGTATGGCACAGATACCCGCTTCACTATCTCTGATAAGCAGTTTTCCACCAAATATCCCTTCTCCACCTCTGTGAAGATCTCCACAGGATGCTCTGGGGTTCTTGTGTCACCTAAACACGTGCTGACAGCTGCCCACTGCATCCATGACGGGAAGGATTATCTAAATGGGGTACAGAAGCTGCGTGTTGGTTTTCTGAAGGACAAGTCCAGACGAGGCAAAGGGAAAGGAGGGCGAGGGAAGGCAAAAGGAGAAAGGGTGACAAAGGTAAAGAGGAAGTGCAGGAGATGGAGGAGATGGAGGAGGATGGTGGGAAAGGAGCCCGGAAAGGAAAAGGGAAAGGTAGAAAGAGCCGGAGTCGGCGAAGTGCGGAATCTGAGAAACCTTCATTCAGGTGGACCAGGGTCAAGAAGATCCAGGTGCCTAAGGGCTGGTTCAAAGGTGTGTCTGATGGACTGGCTGCGGATTATGACTACGCTGTTCTGGAGCTGAAGAAAGCGCCAAAAGTCAAGCACATGAATCTGGGTGTTATCCCCTCACTCAAGAAGCTCCCTGCTGGCAGGATCCACTTCTCTGGCTTTGATGATGACCGGCCTGGCAACCTAGTGTACCGGTTCTGCTCTGTCTCTGAGGAGTCCGATGATTTGTTGTACCAATACTGCGATGCCAAACCAGGCTCCAGCGGCTCAGGGGTCTACATCCGCCTCAAAGAACCTGGCAAGAAGAAGTGGAAGAGGAAGATCATCGGGGTTTTCTCTGGTCACCAGTGGGTGGACGTAAACGGGAATGGGATGCAGCAGGATTACAACGTGGCGGTGAGGATAACACCTCTTAAATATGCCCAGATCTGCTTCTGGGTCCATGGGGACTCAAGTGAGTGTCAGGTAGCCTAAGACAACACAGGATCCCCCCTTAACCACCTACCTACCTACCTGCTCCCACCCCCCACCTATTATCACCAACCAGGGGCCCGACGACTGCCTCTCCTCTTCCTGTTACCTCCTGCTATTCCATCACACACACACACACACACACACACACACACACACACACACCCACAGCCATACAGACTCTGTGTTGACAACAGGAACTGGTCAGCACATCAAGAGAACTGTGGCTCTCCAGCTTTTTTAATTTATTTGCTTAAAAACAACTGAGAAAAAAAAGTGTATTTTATGTATGTGCAGATCATTCAGATCTGCAATTTTGCTTTAAATGTTGACCTTTTTTTTTTCTTTTTTAAAGATTTGACCATTTTGGATACAATGTTGGAAAGTGTGTACATTCAAATGTTTGTTATCAAAGCCCCGGTACATTCAACTTATATTCCAAGTAGGATATGTATGGAGAAACTTGCATTTTAAAGTGTTCTCTCCCACTGTAACGATGAGCGCGTGCTTTGGCCTTGACAAAAGACCCAGGAGAAATTAATGTAACTTTTGTTCTGCGAATGAACTATATTGAGATAACTGTTTTTATAAACATTTTAATTGAACGAGCTTCTGTTTTGCATTTTGTATATCTAGAACTTTGACTTTGTTTGTTTTTTACAGCTACCTTTTTAAAAAAAAAACTATTTTTCTGTCTAAATAGAGAAAGGGTCCTCATGGATCCTGGATAGAAAATTTGTCACCATCTTTTTTCTGTTCTTGCCCTGCAGTGAAATGTGGTTTCATTGTTGTGCACATAATTATATCGGTGCTTATCCTGAAGACGTGGTGCTAATTTATAGAAATGTAAACTTTTCTTTTTGGGAGGCGGCGGCTTCTCAGAAATATTTTGATAGCCTAGTACTGTAACTATACTGTATTTAATGTGAGGCTACATATTCGGGTTGTGTTTGGATGGGACTGAACCATTTCACAATTTACTTGAGCCGTTTAGATTTCTCTAATTCTAAGGGTTAAACAAAATTACAAAAGCAACATTGTTATATAATAACACATTTAAATCTGGGATGTGATATTTTTTTCTTTTCATGTTGTTTATGTTCCAAAAATTCATCCGAGTATCCTTTTGAAAACCAAATACCTGAAATTAATGATGCAGATTGAGGACTACCAACCATTAAACCAAGATTAGTACTTTTGTGTGTGTGTGTGTATGTATGTGTTTGCAATGATGATCCTGGTTACAAAAATGTTTTTCCAAAGACGTAAATTCATAAAATACTCATCAAACTGACATTATTATAGTCTTTGTGATATGAAAGAAAAGAAATTGATGAGCAGTTTAATCCGTCATTGAATTTATTGCACCTCAAAGGGCTTACATGCACTGGGGAGGGTCATCGTAAATAAAATTAATTTACAAATAAACAAAAATACAATTTTAATTCAGTCATCTAAAATGTTAATAACCTCCCATTATTTTCTCTGAATCACATCAGATTCTCACAACCAGTTGATTATTCAGTCCACTGAAATGACAAGACACAGAGGAAGCTTTACATTAGTCTGGGTTACAGCACAAGACTGGGGCCTCAGGTGTTTAAATGCATATCAACATATTGATTCTACTGTCAGTCTGTGGGAACAAAGGAGCTTTGTGTTAAAATGCTTTTGGGGAACACGTCATGGCTAGACAGACAGTGGCCTGTACACATTGCTCCCTTGTGGTCACTTAAAATATGATTATGGGCCAAAGGACAGCAATCATCATGAACAACTTGAACAAACATTATGTCCAGACATCAATCAAATGGGAATTGTTGTCAAATCTCATTGTTTGTCTGCACTTTCTGCCTTAAATACAAAATTATCAAAGCAGCAGTGCAGATATTCACTTGATTTTGTCCAACTGCACTGGATGCAACAGGTTAGTATTAAGGAACTTAAAGGTACCCTGTAGAGAATTTGACCACTTGGTAGCTCTATGAGGCAACGTTTTGATGAGCGCTTTTTGTTTGTAAACATTGTAGATTTCAAAGTTTTAAGAATAAATTGGCTTTTCAAATGTCTTAAGAGGAAGTAAATGCATTCAAAACATTTGTTAGGCCTCAAAGAAACACACAAAGCTTATTTGGTGAGAAACAGGGAATGTAAACAGAACTTTGCTAAAAAAAAAAAAACAACAAAAAAAACTTTACAGGGTACCTTTAATATGTTCCTGAATCTGACTTTTGTGATGAGGTTTTCTAGTCACAGAGAAAAGTGAGCCACAAAAGTTCTTCCTCCTGGAGCACCATGTTGGTTTTCTGCTATTCTTTGAAATCTTGGGCGCAATATCAAACGTGACTTTATTTTTGTTCTGATTTGATCTGTCTGAACATAGAGTTTGGTATGACAATGGAATATCTTCCTCTAAATACAAAAAAAACAAAAACATACTGACCTGGTCATAGTTAAAATGAAATCACAGGCAATGGACATATCCACATGGGTAGTGTCAAAACCGCAGGTAGACACTTGTATAGTTACTTTGAAGGCTAGTTTGCGTGTACCTCTATGGCAATTAACCAAAGCATTTTCTCTGGAAGTAAGTTGCAAGATATGTTCTTTAATACCAATGCCAGCAAATATCAACAGCAGTCTGGAGGATTATTCTAAAAGAAACAGAACACATAAGAAAGATTGGACAAAAAGACAAAAAAAGAAACCACAAGTAAAAAATGAAACAAACAAAATGATCACTTCCTGGTCTGTTATGATTCAGGAGCCCATAGAAGCTGTTTCTTAATATACAGTATATTAATCTTATAGCTGTATTCATATTTGTTTCCAAATATTTTCAAAAGATGACAGGAAATAGAAGGTTACTCACACGACTTCTTACAATTTTTCATGTCCGATTCACATTTATATTTCTCTTCAACAGACATACAGAATAGAGACGTAATCCTCGCCAGAGAAATCTATGTACATCAAAGAGGACTTTTCTGTAAACAACACACAACATGTTTCTCCAAAAATCTACCTGGGCTTCGTTTCCCACTCTCATCCAATCAGAGAGGGACAAAGAAGAGCTCCTCCCCCTTTATAAGGAGGCGGGACACATAAGGGGCAGTGGGTGGAGCAAAGGACACCAAAGCACATCCATCATTCAACTCAACACTAGAAAGAAATCTAAACACATAAACCTTCACTTTCTCTCACATACTTTTGTGAACTTTTTTTGTTAGGGTTTTGAGTGATTTTGTTTAGACAAAAGATCAGTACATCTACCTAAGCACACACTTGTATTTTTTTGCTCATATATATCTATATATTTATCTATATATCTATATATGTATAGATTTATAGATATATACATATATATATAATCCGCTATGGTTCACTTTCACAGTTTGTGCTACAACATCACACGGGAGAAGGGTAGGGTGTTGAAGGGCGAGGTGGAGAAAAGAGGCTCTTATTAGGTTGAGTAGCTAAACATCACTGGCATCCTGAGATGTTGACAGACACCAGGTAATAGGTGAGAGGGCCCTGCTCCAGAGCGGAAAACAGCTGAAAGACAGAAAGTAGAGAACATTTCAACATAAGAGTCATGTGGTTCTCAACTCAAATAATGTGCAAGGTCTCTGCCAAAAGCTGAAAGTGATTTCATACTGATGCTGTGTTTACACAGCCAGTTGCTCAGTCAGTTTACCAAGTCACGTCTCAGAAAGTCAAACATTGCCTGATTTTGGAGAAAAGGACGCAGGTATCACCAAGGCCAAATAGTTTTTCAAGGTCTCTGCTAAAAGCTGACAGACAGTGATTTCATACTGATACTGTGTTTACACAGCACAATGACAAGTTAATAGCAAAGTGGTGATTTTGATAAAGAGGTTCAACCACTCTAATAATTCATTCAAGTATTCACTTTCAATATCCCATTTAAATTCAAAGATGGGTACTGAGATTTTAAAATGGACAACCAGCTCCATCTGCAGGTACTATACTATACTTAAGAGTAGGCATGATGGAGAGACAGTTATAAACAGTGCTTGTGATGTTTTTTAAAGCTGAAGTCATAAAGTCTGCAAACAAACAAATCCTCAGAACTCCATTCATGTATATAAACTATGATAAATAATATATACTAGTATAAAAATGAATGTCTGAGAAAATTAAAAGATTCTGGAAAACTTAAATCTTTATATTTTCAGTTGGTCCTTCAGTTCATTAAATGGAAAAGAAAATTTGCTCGATAACAAAAGTGCAGCACCAAAGTCTCTCAAACATTCCATACTGTATGTACCCTGGGCTCCCACCTGGGGCGTTATAAGAAGTCCTTGAGGTCGAGTTCTGCCAAAGGGTCCTTGGGTTTCTTGGGACTCTGGCTCGCAGGTCCTGGAGAAAGCTGAGATACAAGGAAACGAGGGAATGATTATAAGTTGAGTAGTGGTGGGTAAATACATCTCTACAAACATTTGACTGCATCTTTTTAGGCTGACATGAATCTTTGTAATGTACAAACTGATGTATAAAAACTGGTTTATTGTATGGGCTGCATAGATGAATGGCCATGCTGGTGACTAAAAGCTTTAGTAGTGATTACCGGTGCTCCTGGTGCAGCTGCTCCGGGTGTAGCTCCAGCTACTCCACTGAAGGGAGGTCTCATCATGGGCTGTCCCATCATAGGCTGCCCCATCATGGGTTGCATCATTGGAGCTCCAGGCCCTCCGGCAGGAGGCTGCTAAAACAGGGACCACAATGATTGGGAATTTCTGAAAGCTATGCAGATTAATAGCGTATTCCTTTGAGATGATCTGGACATATAAACATTTGTAATCTATACACATGTAGTTTTGAGTTGCAGATTCCAAAGCTGGTGAGGGCTCACTGAAAAAAACAAACATAGAGAATACACAGTGAATGAAAATAAAACTCACCATCCCAAACCCAGGCTGTGCATGTGTCATTGGTGGCACCATGGCTGCAGCAGGTGGAGCTACTCCAGGTGCCCCTGGAGCTCCAGGGGGGGCACCAGCCTAGAAAGACAGAAAGAAGAGGTTACATCAGCAAAACCTGTGTATTCTTTAAACCTTTGCCACACAACCTCAGCATAAATGTTTGTATCCTGGTCGCAATAATGAACTACAACAAAAATATATATATATAACAAAGCTTTTGTCATGTGTATCTTTGTTGCTTGAGAGAGAAATGAGTATAGGGAGGGGGGGGGTGCCCGTGCTGTTCTTACCATAGGGGCTCCTGGTGTGCCCCAGCTTGTGGGAGCTACCTTTGGCATCCAGTTGGCGCCTCCCGTCAGCTTCTTCTCACTCTGTGGGTCCCTAAAGGTAAGGTTTGTCAAAATAAGACTAGTGTGAAGTTTTGGTCATAGGATGAAAAAACATCTAAATAGCTGACAAACAAAATGAAACCAAACTGAAAAACTTAGCTCAAAACATTTGGGAAGGCATTATGTTCAAACATACACCTTCATGTATGTATGTATTTGGGGGTGCCCCTTTATGAGCCTACACAAGCATCATGCATTTATAGAATTCACATCTTTAAACACACACTTACTTTTTCTTTACTCCAAGGTCTGAACAGAAGAAAGAAAGAAGATTCGAGTTAAATTTCTACTCGATATCGACATATTGATCATAAACCAAAATGATTGAGGTCCAGACGGGCTGCAGTCTACCTCCAATCAGGTTGGCCAGTGACGAGTCCAGGTCGCCACCGATGGTTTTGGTAGGAGGTGGGGTGGCGGCTGTAATGCCTCCCGCTGCGACAGGAGTTCCCATGCTTCCTGCTGTGCTTCCAGCAGTGCTGCCCCCGGTGCTCTGGGGCGTTACAGCGGGCATCAGCAAGTCGCCTAACCCATCAAACACTTGGGGAGAGGGTGGGAATGGCGAGACATCAGAGAAACAACACAGATTACAAACCTGCAAATCCCTAATCTAGCTATAACACAAGCAGTGGGAAGATGAGACCAGACGGTACGGTGAAGGGGACACAATGTAGGACTGTACTGTAAATATATTTGAGCATTCAAAGGAGCAGCAACTACCCTCACTTGACTAGTTGCTCAACCAGTTTACTTAGTCACATATCAGGAAGTCAAACAAGAATAAAGCACTGGTTTTGAACCAGGTGTCATCAAGGCCAAACAGTCTACAGGTTTTCATTCCAATTAACCACTACTGAAGTATTGTGTTGTTGAGAGTTGGATGAGGGTGTATTCACTAAGGCAGTGGCACCCAGCCATTTTTTGTTTGACGTCCTCAACACAACTTGTCATGTTACAAACATTTGAATTGATTTTAAACTGGATGTTATTATCGATTATACAAAACAATAGTCTTTTAATATAATTGAACAGTCAGTGTGGTCGAGTTTGTATTTGTACTACTACTTGGAGTGGCAGAAGCTGGACATTTAAATAGTTTATCCATTACTTTTAGGTAACTTAACGGTTTAATACTTTTAGTTAACTATTTCATCTGTGTGATACTTTGAGTTAACTTTAATTTAAACAACTGTGCTTCTGATTGGTTAGAACTCGTTGCATCTGTTGGTTCAGATTAGTTAAGGTTAAGGGTGGGGCTAGGGTTAGCCAATCAGAGGCAGAGTAGGGTTCAGGTTCAATTGTGTCTGTGAAATGAGAGTTGTTGAAACTATGGCAGGAAAAAATAAAGCATTTCAATTATTATTTAGCTTTTAACTATTTCAATCATTTATCCAGTACTTTTAGCGAACTGTTTAGAGTTCTCAATTAATTTGCTAACTAGCTTTAAAGCACTTTGAATCACATACTTTTTAGATGTTATTCCTGACTCACTACGTGGATATTACTGCAAAACAACCCCTGGGGCACAAGTGCCCCTGGTTTGGAACCAATGCACTATGGGATAATGTACAAATTATTGATTTGAATTGTTTTACAGGCTTCATGGGGCCTAATTAACAGGTTTCCACCGCTGAAAATGTTTGCTGTAACTTTAAACTATAGTGTAGCAGAACCTGCAACATCTAATCCATATTTACAGTTAAGGGTTCATATAAGCACATTTAAAGGAAATCTTTTGTGTTTCTGACCTGTGCAGTAATCAAAGCATTTTCACTACAATGTCATGCATTTTAACGGAAAAATCTACAATTTAAAGCTATTTCTGCAGTGCTACAGGAGTGATATTAAAACCTGTAGACTCTGGCTTGATGAGATGTGGTTCCTATAAGAGCCGCTGCTATAAATGGTCCAAAATAAAATCCTCAAAAGCTTCAACGTGAAAAAAATAAGATACATTGTACAAACATAAACAACAATACAGCAAGCCTTGTCTCGTGCAGGAGACAATCAGGTTCATGCAAAGACGCAGAGGGTGAGACTTGTCCAAGCTGCACATGCTGTGATGAACTGCGAGATTGAACTCACCAATTAAAGATTAGAAGAAGCAAGCAATGACCCAGCAGAGTGGAAGGGGTGTGGATAAGGGTGAAGAGGGAAATAAAAATGGAGCAGAAGAGAAAAAGTGTGTAGCGGAAAGAAAAAGGTATACATTTGAGAAGGTGTACAAGAGAAGAGATTGAGAAAAAACTGCGAGATTTTGGCGAGAGAGGCAGCAGTGCTGAGGAGTTAAGCAGTCAGCAGAAATAAGGGGGACAGGGACAGCATCACATCAGTGTATCATTCATGCAGTAGTCAAGCTCTCAGCAGGAAGAGATAACGTAGTCATGGTTAGGGAACCAGAGCAGATTAATGCACATCAAGCTGAAGACCTGTGCAAATATGGATAAAATACTACAAATTCTTTTGTTATTTCGCTTTTCACAAGACATGGCAATGAAATAGATTAAAGAAATGAAACAGAAATTACAAATATTATGATCCACTTACTTGAAGCATCAAAGCCACCAGAGGGCACCGGTGTGGTGGTTGCAGGTTCTGGTACTGCTACTGCTGCCACTGCAGCAGGTAAAGGTGGTGTTGGAGAGGTAAGGGAGCCTAGAACATCAAAGCCAGACTCCAGGAGGTCATTCTGCACTGGACCTGAGGCCAGAGCTGGAGCCAAGGCAGGAGCCAGAGCTGGGGCAGCGGTGGGAGCCAGGGTAGGGGACATCAGGCCTGAGGTGGATCACAGACATGACTGTAACTGTGACATTGTATTTAGTTCACTTTAGTTTTGTTAATATATAAATCATGTATTACTGACAGTGGTAGAAAGTAACTGTAATTAAGTTCTTCTGTTTTATGCTTAATACTTTTAATCCACAATAAGGCTGCAGCTAATAATGATTTTAGTACTCAAAGCTTTCATAGATTATTTCAACGATTCATCGATGCGTCGTTCAAGAAGTACTTCTGCTTGGTGGTGCCCCCCCCAACAGGGTCAGCTGTGCATGTTTATAGGTGATAGATATTTATTGGCTTTTGGAAATTTTGTTTTATGGTGGACGGACTGTGACACTTCAGAGTTGTTGTTTTCTTTAGCTTGAAATAATCCCATACTTTGGACACTTTCTTGTTTGTCCACCCTATTTTCTCTCTCTTCCTCCACTTTGCAAACAGCGCATCATAATCACGGCATGCAAGCGCGATGTGCAACAGTTATAAATGTCCGTACGAAACAGTCTGCTATATAGTGATATGGATTAAACGAAGCCTCGATGCAAAGAATTTGCGTCGATGCACTTTAGTAAACGATTTAATCGATGAATCGTTTCAGCCCTACTCCACAATTTTAGGGGGAACATTTTTGTACATGTACATTATGTACATGTATCTGACAGCTATTATCATGAGTTATTTTCAGATTAAGATTTTAAATAAATAAAACACAACGACACAAAAATTGTACCCAATATAAAGCAGTGCCTAAGTAGCTGAGTTGTTGGGAGTTCCACCAAATAGTAATTTCCCCACTAAACTTGGATTCTCAGATGATTTAATTTATAGTATGAGGCTCAAAGAGGTGAGATTATTCAATATTTCACAATAAAAGGTAAAGATTAGAGGAAAAAATGAATGACAATTTCAGTAGCAGAATTATTTATTTTTTCCTATCCGTTTAACCATCTCATGAATCTCAGATTTATCTGGTGACCCAATATAAAGTAGTTAAATCTAGATCCACCTTTTCCAGTGTCAACAATAAAATATTGCTTGTGCAACGATGCATCAGTCTTAACAGTCTAATAATGTCACATATTATAATATTGCAGTCACAGGAGACATTTTTCTGGAAGATGACTTTTACTTTAGTAATTTCTTCTGATAATGTTCTATGGTAACCGGCAGTGCTTGTAGAAGCAGCAACTTTTGTTTTTTATCTGTTTTTTCCGGCTTTATTGCCAAAACATGCGTTACCTCTGACGTAAATAAAGTCCCTGGAAGAGCAGCAGACCACAATCCACCCGGCCCAAACAACCGGACCAGGTGCCATGGCGGGTGTGGTGATCGCTCAGAGGAGAGAAAATAGAGCCAGGAGGGGAGCCATGCTGGCCCGGCTTGGACTTAATTCTGCTCCTAAAGGTCCGGTCTGGACAAAATGGGACTCATGTTGACCAAGCAACAGAATTCAGAGACTGTTGTGCCCACATCGTTACAGAGACCTGCCCTCGGCAGGAGGTCCATATTCTGAGCTGTGAGTGCAAGACTCCGGCAAGATGAGAGGAAGTGGACTCTCTGTTTCGATGATGCTTGGTGCACAAACGCAGTCAAGCAAGACTGTTTCCCAAATGTCAGAATGTTTGTGGTGGAGCAGCAACCAGATGAAACTATCATCTGGTTGCTGCTGTTTACATTCACCCCAGACGCAAATAAAAAAATGCACTGTGTAATGTTCGGGGTGTACACGTGTACATACGTCTGTATATATGTTTAGAAAAAACTGTATTGTTTTTAATGTATTATATATGTTACCATATTTTAATGTAGGTCTACACTTAATTATGTTGTGTGTGTAGCACGAAGGAACAACAAATTTTGTTTCATTATGCAGCCTTGTGCTGTATAATGACAAATAAACAACTTGTACCTTGTAATATTGAACCTTAACTGAGGCAAGATTTTTACTTGAAATGGAGTATTTTTATACATGTGTCACTGCTACATTTACTTTTAAAGGATCTGAACACTTTTTCTACCCCAGATACCTATAGATACAATATTCAATTTCCAAACAATTTGCATCGTTTTAGTAACAGTAACAAGTATATTTAGTAGACAGCCCAATACAAGTCTACAAAGTGTCTAGGTGTGCTGGTGTACACTTTACACACAATGGCTTACTGTGTATTGTAATAATAACTTGGAATACATCCATATTTTCAAAGCTGCTTCCACTCATAGTATCCAAAGGTCATACTGAAGCTTCATAGAGTGCATGCACATATGACTTGTCATGACTAATAGGCCGGATGCACATGAGGTCCTACATTCACATTTTGCATACTGAAAGTATATTCAGAAATGCTGCCATGCAAGTAGGACGTCTGACTCCATGCATTACTTTGTTGCGTGTGTTGAAAATGTCCTATTCTTTTTTCGAACAAAGACAAAAACATAAAGGAAGACACATTGAGCAGCAGTGACATAAATGAGATGGGATAGAGATTGGTATGATATCACTAGGAGATTATGGTGGACAGACATTTCCAAATGAGTCCAAAGCTACTTTGGAACTGCTGAGTAATAGAACTGAACCGGACCTGCCAAGTCTGTGTCAATATTAATTTGACAAATGCATCTCCATCATTACTTCCTGCTTAATTTCTTAATCAGCATAAAACATTTCAGTCAGTCATTTGCCAGCAGACAGTGGACATCTTATCAAAATTGCTGGTCCTTTCAGCCTTTCTAATTTCACTGTGATTTCCATAAAAACACTTCAGTGTAATCACAAAAAGTGACAGTCAGAGGAGTCTTACCTCCCAGCAGGTCGTCTCCAGGCCCTCCAGGGGCAGAGCTCTGCATCTCCTCCACAGGACTGCTGAAGGAGTCTGCAGGGCCATCCACAGCGCAGCATTGAGGGCAGAAAGGGGTGAGAGGTCAGCCCTCGATCACACACTGGGGCACAGTGGGTGGTAGGAGACAAGATTATCTTCATAAAGCAAACTACAACTGAAATTAAAACCAAAAGTGTACAAAATGTCAAATTATATTAAGAAAAACAATGGTTGGTGTGGTTAGAGAAAGGTTTCCATACTGTCAACTGGTGCTGTCATGTGATTCACTAGGTTTCAAGGGCATTAATGATGTGATGAAATGTGTATAGGCCTGTGATTTTATAGGCTAAATTACAAATGCATTACATGAATAAATTGGTTTGGTCTCACAAAAGTGTAATGAAAAAATTACCTTCAACAATATTGTTGAAATTAAATGGACATAGACAATATTTCAATGAATTCCTCATTGTTTTTCATGAGGAAAGAACGCAACAACAAAGTCCGAAATCAGATGCCAAGACAGATGACAGACCAACATTGTCGTACTTTCAGCCATGCCGTGCTAAAATCCTCAAAAGAGATGAACACTTCCTGTTTTTTATTTCAGTAGGATACATTCTCCACACTGCAATCCACACAGCATAATACTTATTTTGGGAATGTAACTGGTAGCTACTGCCAACCAGTGCCTGTATCTCAGATGTGTCAGACCACCACATCTAGACAATATCAGCCTCATTGGTACAAACGTTCACCCACAAACTTGCTGTAACAACTGAGAAGGATTAAAAATACCCAGAAGAGAAAAGTAAAATGATGAAATCCACAAACGTTAAAATAGGTCAAATTTAACAATGTATATGCAGCATATGTTGTTGTAAAGAGATGTGTATGTGTGCTCTGAGGTACAGTACCCAGCAGGTCAATGACAGGTGCCGGCTCTGCTTTGGGTGGAGTGGAGGCCTCTGGGACGGGAGATGCAGCAGGAGCAGCGACAGGAGCAGCAGCAGGAGCTGGAGATGTAAATGAGTCTGAACAGAGAGATGGGCAGAGAGAGAAGCAGGAAGGGATTAAAATACCCTCAAATCTAAATGACTACATTTATCAGTGGCAGCTTTATTTCAAAAGGGAGAATGCTTTGCTCATCCACTGTTATTAAGCCTATTCTAAAAGGCTAGCAGACATGCAGAGAGGAAGCAGGAAAAGGAAGCAGGAATCCCTGCATCGTAACTGTGTATCCACATCCTTGAAGCGTGCACCATTTGGAATTACAGGACTGGTGTGCAAGTGCATGGAGACACCGGCACCATGCAAAAACACTTGAGGCTGGTTGCACTCTTCATGAAAAAAGGAAGGGAAAACAGTGATGCAGTAAAGATAAAGCAGCTTAACTCACCGGTCACAATGTCTCCAGCAGGAGCTGCCTCGGGCAAAGGAGAGGGCCCGCGTGAAACAGCAGGAAGGTCTAATTTACCAACGCAAGCGAGAGGCAGAATACGAGAAAGAAGAAAACCATAGAGGTCGCAAAGAAAGCAAAGAAAAGTATTAGCGTGGCAGGTAGAAAGACACAGCGTAGGTAGAAAGCAGCCACGGAGACAATCCAAGACTTGACGAGTGGGACACATGCACAGTTCTCATACCACTATGAGGGACAAACCAAGACGTGTGGGGGATAAAAACTGTTGACAGAGGAGTGGAGGTATGGAAACCAGAAGAGATGAAGAGGTTCCACACACAGAGAAATGGATATCAACTCCTGTACCTGCACCAAAAGGTCTACGCTAGGAGTGGTAGCAGCTTTGGATTCTGTGGTAGGGCTTTGCGCAGGCATAGAATCAAACATATCTAAGAACAAGGACACACAATCATATATACATTCAGATTCCAGGTCCAGTGCATACAGAATGATGAGTTAAGAAGAGAGATGAGGGAAAGCAGAGAGAGCAGATATTTTGATTATTAAACGGGTAAGTTGCTGTGTATCTGTTCAGTGCAATGCAAAATGGAACAGTGCAAAAGTTAAAAGGGTATATTGATAAATTTCAGCATGAAGCTTTTCTGTATTTGCATCAGTGAATTTTGATTATATGACCAGAAATTATGGTTCAATTTGTCTCAAATCAGCAATGTGACATTACTGAGACATCACAGACTATTGCTAACATTTGCTAAGTATCACTAAATACAAAGCACAGCTGAGGCTGATGGGAATGTCATTTGACATGTATTTGATCGCAAAAAAAAGTACTGGATGGATGGATCTCATCCCAGCTCTCAGCTTTATATTTGAGTTACCAGTTCGCCTAACCTGCATGTCTTCTGGACGGTGGGAGCAAACCAGAGAACTCAGAGGAAACCCATAGCATTTATGAATGCTGACATTGAGCAATATTCCCTTTTTACAAAAGTGCATAAGCTACAATAAAGCATTCTCAGCTGTCAGTTTCTTAAGTATTGGTCACAAGCAGGAGAAGAAAACTATTTTCTTCACATCTTCACAACATTTGGCAGTCTGTTAGTATTAGGTTACTAATCAAAACAAATTGAGCCACCTCTGTTAATCAAAAGAGATAAAAGTCCATTCATATCCCTAGAGAATTTGGTCCCCAAACAATAATTATTGATGGCTTAACGTTTAACATAGCATACGGAATAAAATTTAAGCAGAGGAGCTCAAGATGCTTGATTAACTTGATAAAATGATCTGTATCTGAAGGAAAGGCATCATGAAAAATAACAAATAAAATCTGAAATGTAGGGACTGGGCAGGTTATTATCTATTGTCACTACTGTCATCATCAGCACTAGCAAGAGCAACACAGTCAACATTGTTATCAAAACCTATATCATCGTTATAATGCAGGGCAATGCAGTGAGAGGCATAATGAGAGCGAGAGGACTTTACCACCAAAGATATCTAGAGTCGGGGCGGCTGCAGACTCTGTGGTGGTGTCGATGGTGGTTGTGGTGGTAGTGGTGGTGGTGGAAGAAGGGGTAGGAGCAGCGGGAGCAGCGGGGGCAGCGGGGGCGACGATGGGGGCGACGATGGGGGCGACGATGGGGGCGACGATGGTCGGCGCCTCACTAGAGGTGGGAGGGGTGACAGCGGTGGCCCCCATGTCGGCGGGCCTCATAGCGAACAGGTCCAGCTCTGGAGCAATGTCCGCACTCCCCTCTGTCGTAGCGAAGGGGTCTTTAGGAAGAGTAGCAGGGGGGTAGTGTTGACGGATTGGGGGTTGGGGGGTTATGATTAAAGAAGAAGGGGTTGATGGGTGGATGGGGAAAGGAGGATTGAGTTTGTTAAAACAACAAACACTGTAAAAAGCCTTTTTGTAAGGCAAGACACCTTTGAAGCTCCAAATCAGGGTTAAAGGCACAAAGAAAGTAAACCATGCACACGGTCACTCATGAACTTGTGAACTACATCCACAAGCTACAACAGACAGTGGGAAACAATTCTCAGTAACTAATAACTGACTACAGTTGGTAGTGTAATTTTTGGTTAAATGACCCACTGACTAATAGTCAGTCATAATTTATGAGAACACCCAAATCATCCATGTGTCCTTGGTACATTGTTGGCTTTGTGATAACGCCAAGATGTTAGCATTATAGATGTTTAGTGATATTGTGCAGCTAGCATTGTATAAAAAAAATCTATGACATGCTATTAAGAGTGAGGACTTCATAAACAAGTGTTTTACAGCTTTCTACTTGGCTCAGTTACCCACAGACTGAGACCTTAGTACCAAGGCTGAAGAAAGATAGAAGATTACAGCACCTTCTTTCATGCTATTAAATATAAAATATAAAATATTTACATATAGTAGCCATTTCTACTCACTACTTCATATTTATGAAAAGAATGACTATGTGTGAAATCTCTAATTCAGTCTAGTAAAATCACTTATCTGTATTATTTACACTTGAAGTGCATAACTGAAAACACGACTGTGATGCTGTACTTGAGCTAAATGCTAAAATCAGCATGCTAACATGATCACAATTACTATGCTAACATGCTGACGATTATGCTAACACTAGCTAATCGCCATAAACCATAAGGTACAGTCGAGGCTGATGGGAATGTTAATAGTTTTTCAGGTATTTGATCACAAAACAAAATATTGGTAATGATAATCAGATAGGAGCCCATGACCATTAGGAAAAGTTTTCAAAACCTGGTGTGTCCTTTTTACTCTGATTAATACAGGAAGTCAGGTGTGGGTGCAGAATAAAGTTAATGCAGAAGGATTTTAAATAAACTGCAACTGTTTGTGTTAATGCTGTGTTTGGTAGGCTAAGCACAAACTAGATGTTCCATGAAGGAGTACTTTTAATTTCTGCAAGAATAACTTGCATAGACATTGTGGATTGCTCAGGTCATTGTCCTGTGATATACAGTGGGTACGGAAAGTATTCAGACCCCTTTAAATTTTTCACTCTTTGTTTCATTGCAGCCATTTTCCAAAAATCAAAAAAGTTCATTTTATTTCTCAGTAATGTACACTCAGCACCCCATCTTGACAGAAAAAAACAGAAATGTAGAAATTTTTGCAAATTTATTAAAAAAGAAAAACTGAAATATCACATGGTCATAAGTATTCAGACCCTTTGCTCAGTATTTAGTAGAAGCACCCTTTTGATCTAATACAGCCATGAGTCGTTTTGGGAAAGATGCAACAAGTTTTTCACATCTGGATTTGGGTATCCTCTGCCATTCCTCCTTGCAGATCCTCTCTAGTTCTGTCAGGTTGGATGGTAAACGTTGGTGGACAGCCATTTTCAGGTCTCTCCAGAGATGCTCAATTGGGTTTAAGTCAGGGCTCTGGCTGGGCCATTCAAGAACAGCCACGGAGTTGTTGTGAAGCCACTCCTTCGTTATTTTAGCGGTGTGCTTAGGGTCATTGTCTTGTTGGAAGGTAAACCTTCGGCCCAGTCTGAGGTCCAGAGCACTCTGGAAAAGGTTTTCGTCCAGGATATCCCTGTACTTGGCCGCATTCATCTTTCCCTCGATTGCAACCAGTCGTCCTGTCCCTGCAGCTGAAAAACACCCCCACAGCATGATGCTGCCACCACCATGCTTCACTGTTGAGACTGTATTGGACAGGTGATGAGCAGTGCCTGGTTTTCTCCACACATACCGCTTAGAATTAAGGCCAAAAAGTTCTATCTCGGTCTCATCAGACCAGGGGATCTTATTTATCACCATCTTGGAGTCCTTCAGGTGTTTTTTAGCAAACTCCATGCGGGCTTTCATGTGTCTTGCACTGAGGAGAGGCTTCCGTCGGGCCGCTCTGCCATAAAGCCCCAACTGGTGGATTGCTGCAGTGATGGTTGACTTACTACAACTTTCTCCCATCTCCCGACTGCATCTCTGGAGCTCAGCCACAGTGACCTTTGGGTTCTTCTTTACCTCTCTCACCAAGGCTCTTCTCCCCCGATAGCTCAGTTTGGCCGGACGGCCAGCTCTAGGAAGGGTTCTGGTCGTCCCAAACGTCTTCCATTTGAGGATTATGGAGGCCACTGTGCTCTTAGGAACCTTAAGTGCAGCAGAAATTTTTTAGTAACCATGGCCAGATCTGTGCCTTGCCACAATTCCGTCTCTGAGCTCTTCAGGCAGTTCCTTTGACCTCATGATTCTCATTTGCTCTGACATGCACTGTGAGCTGTAAGGTCTTATATAGACAGGTGTGTGGCTTTCCTAATCAAGTCCAATCAGTATAATCAAACACAGCTGGACTCAAATGAAGGTGTAGAACCATCTCAAGGATGATCAGAAGAAACAGACAGCACCTGAGTTAAATATGAGTGTCACGGCAAAGGGTCTGAATACTTATGACCATGTGATATTTCAGTTTTTCTTTTTTAATAAATTTGCAAAAATTTCTACATTTCTGTTTTTTTCTGTCAAGATGGGGTACAGAGTGTACATTACTGAGAAATAAAATGAACTTTTTTGATTTTTGGAAAATGGCTGCAATGAAACAAAGAGTGAAAAATTTAAAGGGGTCTGAATACTTTCCGTACCCACTGTATACTAGGCCAAAGAGAGAGACTAAATGGAGTTATTGAGAAAAAGAAAATAAATGATGACAATGATTAGTATAATCATCATCATCATTAGGTAGTATCAGGGTTAGGGTGTAAAAACAAATGGTATTAATTCTTGGACTAGTGTATGGTTAATAGCTGTACTGTGCTTTTTACTGTAGTATTCACTGGGTGAATATTAGGAGGAGAGTAGTCGAGATGAGGGGGGAGAGGGTCAATGACTGCAGGATTTGGGGTGAGACAGTAGGCCTTGAGGGCACATGTTTGTTCTACTGTCTCCTGGAAGCAGAAGCAGCTCTAATATAATAAAAGCAACCACAGCTTTTACATCCACACGCACATTCACGCACTCTCACATACACACACTTGCACAAAATGCTGTTTTGTCACCCACCAGATCCACCAAAAGCATCAGCAGCAGGGCCCGCGGCCACGGCAGCAGGACCATCTCCTGGGGAAGGTGCAAACGCATCTAGGGTATTGCAGACGAAAACAGCCGGAACGCAAAACATAACACCCGGGACAGACACATGGGTGTAAAGAACAAAAGATGAGTAAACAGATGGAATGGACAAGAAACAAAAATGAGAGGTCAGCATCAGGAAAAAGCAGAGAATACAAGAAATATGCAGCCCGGTTACTGCAGTGAATGATCTGATTGTACGATCAGTCACATGTTGAGTTTTGAAGGGCTGCATAATGCTGCATTCAGTGAGTGCACTACCTGTGCAGGTTTGTGAAATGAGGCACATTGTCACAAGTTACTCGTACTCTGTGACAAGAGGGAAGATGTCAAGTTCAGGGATGGACGAGGCAAAGTCTCTCTTTGACAAAAAACGAAACTCAATTAACTCTTTTTAACAGATACTTGGTGGTTCTCCAATGTTAGGGCTAAGGCTAATCGGAAAAAGTCTAAATATCATTAAATGAAATCCAGCTACTCATCATCTTGACATATTTATGAAACTGTTAGTAAGCCATTAGGGAAAAAAATCATCAACGGTGATTAACAAAAAACAGCAAAAAGCAGCAAATCCCCAAAATACAAGTCATAATAGCAGATTAATTCCATTGCAGTGGGTTTATTGAGGTGCACACAGTTATGACACCACACTCTGATTAATGTTTAAAACACATTAATGTCGCATTAGTGTTTTGTTGCAATTGTGCAGCTTTGAATAAACCCACTATACAAATTATCCACTACTCATATAGCTCTATTTTTGGGATGTGCCACAAATGATAAATGTTTTGCTCTGGGCTCAGTGCAAAACAGAGCGAGTGAAAGCTTGACATTATGTCAGCATAGTATACATGGTTGCCACAAAGCAGGATGTAAAAACCATTAGAAAAAAGTCAGGAGAGAAAACCATTACATTCGAGTAACAACACTAAGCATCTGATTTTCCGGAAAATATCTATCTGGTGTACTTTGACAAACCCAGAAGGCATTTCCAGACTTTTCTAACCATGTAGATGAAAAAGTTCTTCCGCTGCCTGATAAAAAGAAAACGATTTGTAAACCGTTTTTCAAGTTTTGCCTCTTTTTCCTAATCCTAACAAATATATTGTTATATTGGCATATACTGACGTTTCTATCCAATATTTGAAATATTCATAGAAAATACAGCTTGTGTTTTACAGAAAGAGCAAGGACATATGTCATGGAAATAAAATAACAACTTAATAAAGCGGTATAAAATGTTTATTAGTGTGCAGCAGTCAAAATGTGTTTTCAACCAGATGGTCAGAAAAGGCTTTAAAGGTACAATGTGTAAGAATTGAGACTAATCTCCACCTGTCGAAATCATCATACTCCAAAGAAAAAGGGGGCAGCATGTCACATATCAGGTCATAACTGCTGCAAACTGATGTTAGCTAGTTGGCTCAGTTAGCCGTGCAGCTAACCAGCCACCCAGCCTCCCAGTGATCATGGCTGGACCGGGACAGAACACAGCCTCAGAGAACGACGCAGGCCAGTTTGACGACAGGGAATATGAAGACACGGAGGGTTCAGGCGGGTTCAGAAAAGGGGGCCAAGTGGGAGAGGAGCGAGAGGGAAGTTGGGCATCAGAGAGGCAGCGACAGCATGTACAGCCATAATATTTTCACATCTTACTCTGTGAAATAAGGGTTTATTTCCACCAAAATAGAGTTGGTGATTGTTGGAACAGTGGGAAGACTAACCAAGATGGTTTTGGATGGATTGTCTAGAATGAGTTTACAAGACCATTAGTTAAGTGGAATTTCCTTTCTTGACATTTTGTGTTTAGGTTATTTATTAGACTAAAAAAGCTAAGAGAGCTTACATAACGTCGTGAACTAAGACTGCTGGGTTATTCTATATATTTTTTTTTAATCGAAAGTGTAGCTCTGTGACTCGAATGTAATGGTAACACATGAGAGGCTTTCTACTCAGATTTCTACTTTCTATGTTTCCATGTTGCATCAAAAATGCAGGCACCTCAGATTCTCCTCAATCTTCAGGTATCACATAAACTGTAATCCAATGGTACGAAAGCTTGTAGACTTTTTGTGGTGCTATGCAAAGTTTAGGGAGTGATAAATAAATCCCAATCCTCAATATACCAACTTTATACAAAAGGAAACCAATTAGTAAACTATTAAAATGGCGCACTGCAGACAAGCAGGCGGCTGCCATGCCGTGTATCCTGGTCTACACCCTATCTTTAGACCAGACTGACCTCCAAAGAGGTCCATATCTGCAGCTGCGGTGGTAGCTGGTGCTGAAATGGGCAGCGAGGCAGGCACCGGTGCGGCCGCAACGGCAGTGGCAGTGGTCGCAGAAGCGGCAGCAGAATCAGCAGACTCGCTCTCCGCCAAGAGAGCTTCAGAGGCTTCGTCAGGGGCACCCGGAGTTGCTATGCGGATAAAACCCGTAATCCAAACGCCACAACCCAGTCACAACCCCCAAAAAGAGAGAAATAGGATGTGTCAAAAATACTAAATAAAAAAGACAGGCTTACTGTGGAGGATTTGGGTGCTGAAGGTGAAAATAGCTTTACACAAAGACAATGATTCTTCAGGTAGAAAGCTAAAAAATCAGAGGCTTGTAAGTATTTCTCATATTCAGTCTGTAGCGCAGTGTCAACAGAATACTCACCCTCAGCCAACAGATCTGCACAACAGACAGACAGAGAGAGACAGAAGGTGAAGCGTACAAACAAAAGCAGTAGGATTTTTACTGTACATATGGAGATAAAATTTAGATTAAGGAATCTTTCATTTGCAAGCCTGCCATTATAGACAACAGGCCAGAAAAAAACAGACATGGACTAATGGTAAAGCCCAATTGAGCTAAAAGCTCCTTAATATAATTTAGGCTTTGAAATGCTATAGTTGGACTCTTGCCACCTTCAGGGTATCAGTGGAGATGTGGGGATAAACAGAGGGCATGCCAAAAAGCAACAGCAGATTTATAATAGAAATGGTGTGTAATTTAAACCACATTTTCCAATAAAACATCACCGAGCGTACCACTTCTTTCGGGAGTCATGCTAAAAGACCACAGTTTGTTGTTTGAGTTCATTGACTGCAAATTGTATATAGAGTACTTGATCTTACTGCTAACCATTTTACAATACATTTCCCTCTTTCTGCTTCTTCTAAGCAGCAACTGGTTTCCACCAATTTGAAAATTGGTATGAAAATAACTCATGGTCCACAGTAATGTGAACTATAAGGGTTTGTGGTTAATGGGATGAATCATGCAAAACATCTGTATGGCCCATTTGAATTTGAAAAAGTCTATGCTCCGTCATTTACTGATATTTTTTTCCCTGTCAGTAGATTCAAGTTTAGGCTAACAAGTATCTATTTTTGGCATTAGCGCAAATTGGCCTTTTTTGGTAAATCCCTTCACCGAACATTGATCTGCCATTGCTGAGCAACCGTAACTTGGCATGGCGGGTCTATCAAACTTGGGGCTGTAGTGAGAGGGATACTCAGCATTTCAAGAGTTTGGGTTGCAGGTAGTTTTCTGAAACTAAAAACCCAGCAGCAAGGAATGGATGAAACTGTTTGTGGATCTGTTTTTGGGTGACAGGCTGTGTTAGAAAAATTCCTGTCCACAACTAGAACGTAACAGAAACAGACAGTGTTGTTTCCAACATTTGTCATTTCAGGTGGCAAAACTGACGGTTATCAGCTAGAAATGAAAAGCTGCATTTGTCTACACGTGTCTGACGTTAAGGACGCATTATTTTAAAAATTACTTTGACTTTCAGGATGCAAATCTGCCACTGTTATCATTATAAACTGCCAATGAACCCTGCCAGAACACAAAGCTTGATATGAAAGAAAGTTCTTACCTCCCCATCCAGTCATGGAGGAAGTCGCTGCAGCGCCCCCTGCTGATGAGGAGGACATAGGGTCTAGATCCAACAAGAACCCATCATCAAGAGCACTAAACACAAAGAAAGAAATAGAAAGGGGGAAAAAGGGAATCCATTACTAATGAAATATTGATGCAGCTCAGCAGAAACACTTTGTAATATTGTTGAGTGACTCTTACTTGCTGGCAGTGGTGGAGGTGGGGGCCGGTGCTGTGGGAGTGACAGAAGGTGGAGGAGGTTTGGCAGGTGGCCCGGGGCGAGCAGGGGGCCCGCCAGCGGTAGCGGGAGGTGCTGGCTTGGCCGGCGCAGCAGCAGCAGCAGCGGTAGCAGCACCCGGTGAGCTGTTGTTGGCTGTGGTGTCCTGTCGCAAAGAAGGACCCCCGTTAACATGGTGACCAACACTGTTATGTAAGCTGATGTGATTCAACAGCTCTTTTCTTTACACATGAATTCACAGTGAATCATGTCTGTTACATGTTACATGTCTGTAGCAGGAACAGTTAAGGGTGAAGTTAAAAGTCGAATTAAGCATTTAGTTTTTACTTGCTTATACGCTGCTCAGTGACGATCTCAATAAGTGCTATATATAAATGAAGGCTAACATTATTACCACTACATTATGATTATTATGAAACACATCCTTACCTTAGTGGGCGACCTGCAAAAGCAATGATAGCACATGAGTTAAAGAGTTTAATGATGTACATGCCGAAACATAATGGCTGGTACTGAGATTGGGAGGCAAAGTGACAGCTTAAGTATCACTTTGGTGTTTTCAGGCAGGCAGCATTTCAAAGCAATTACATTTAGTAAACATCTGCAATTAATGGATCCACACTGCACTGCTGAGTAACAGCATCTTGGCCCCAGCTCCTCTTCAACAAAGCTTTGTTTCTGAATGGCATGCGTCTAAGGCTTTGTGAAAGTGGGGGCTGACTGTACAGTAAGATGATAACAAACATGAATATGTTAGTAATGTCGTCAGATGAAAGGCAGGAGCTGTCATTGTACAATATGTCAATGACAACAATTACGCAAGTGATGTTTGGTCACAATTGCATGCATCAACAAAACTATGGGACACAACAATATAAATGTAAGTTGCTTGTTCAGATGGACTTTCTATAGAATCACTGAAAACTGTAACCAAAATTGAACAAAAAAGTTTATCAATACAAATTATGGTAAAATAACAAATACATGTCCTTTTGTCATTGACGTAGAATACTTACTTATCCTCTCTGAGTTCAGTCAAGACAGAGGAAATGACATGTTAGAGAAGCAACAGGGGAGTCTAGATAGAGTTGTCACTGACCTAACACTGGTCAAAGATCAAACAGGCAACACAGAAAGAGCTAAATGTACTAAAGGTACATGTCTGTGAAGATTCATCATCATCCAGGTCATAGTTATCCAACGAAGGTTAAAGTCAAGGGCAACTGGACTTGGTTGACCAGATGGTCCAGTTGCCCTTGACTTTAACCTTCGTTGGATACCCTGGTACATGTTGGACTGCATCCAAGCTATCCTTTGCCATATTCACTACAGACATGGTCTCAGCACGGCAAGAGCCATTAAACGGTATACCTGTAATTACAGGATTACTGGAGCGTCAGCTCTGTGTTACTGCTGGTTAACTGATTGAGAAAACAAAACGGGTTGCATGTATATTGAACAACTTACGGCTTCTTCCCCTCCAGCGTGTTAAGGTGGGTCTCCAGGGACTCCAGAAGACTTTCTGGGGCCTGTAGAATAATAAAGAGCGGTTATGCCGTTATCAGCTCTAGCTCAAACACAGTATCAAGGTTGGTTATAGCTCACAATACTGATTATACTCCACAACAGAACAGAGAGGACCACACAGTCAAAGAGAAACACTGATGCACTGGGTTATTTCTATCCATCACATTTGAGTGACTGCTTCTTAGATCATGCCTCCTTTTGGAATAAGAGTTTGTTTATTAACCACATGTAAAATATGCTGCACCTTTACCAAACGGACATGTCACATGACGTCAGCTCAGGTTGATGTCACAATGAAACCTTAAAAAGTTATTGGATGAATTACCTGGCATCCTCAATAGAGACAGATGTCAACCCACTGACGTGGGTGTTTTGCCTGGCTTTACACTGTAGGTAGCATGACACGTACCGTTTAAGTGTGCCAGGCTAGCATGCTTTAATGGACAGTTGCTGTGAGATCAGGTGTGTCTCTCCTGGTGCACTGATAATCACCCTTCTTGTGCAGTTTTTCAGAATAATCTAATCAACACCAATGTGACAGCACTGACTCTGAGAATACTCTATTCTCTGTTTCATTCATCTCTGAAATTCAGTCTGTCTCTGGGTTCAGGGCCAGAAGAATTGCTATTTTCAGTGGTCATTCTACCTTTTGATGAAAGTATCATTAATTATGATTTGCTGATCCAGATGGTACTCAAATCGACATGCAAATTGCAGAGTAACAACAACTGATGTTTCCAAAATGTCAGTTTGATTTGGGTCCAAAATCCCATAAATGAAAACCCTGCCAATAATGCAATATAGAGCCCGACTGATATGGGATTTTTAAGACCGATACCAATTTTGATATTTGAGGATTTTAAAATTCGATTTTCAGTTATATCGGCCAATATTCTTTTTTTCCCTTCTTTTCAGAAATGCACATTAACAAAGATTATCCCTAACTTTTTTTTTGTGTATTTATGAGGCCTCTCCAAGATGAGATGACATAATGCAGTTTAAAATAAACTCTTTTTAAATTGTTATTAACAATACTTATAAGAGAACAAAAGTACAGCTGATTGCTGTGTTTTGTGGTGGATTTGTTGTTCTAAACAGGCATTGCCAACAGGGGAGTTGCAAAGTGGCCTCTGGTGGACAACACCATGCAACAACAACACTTGTAACATGACTGAAGGATCCCTCTCTGTTTCTTTTTTAATTATAATAATTATAATATTATCGGCTGTTATAAACACAGATGCCAATTTATCTGCAATTAGCTCATACGATCTGATAATCTCGTATCGTATTTCAGTGAACTTGTGCATTTGTCTTGTTGAACTGTTGCATCACTTGACTACATGTTTTGTCTTATGTGATGACTGGCAACATAAATAAAACTTCCCAAGCCCAGACTAGGGCAGCTGGCTATCAATAATCTTTGAGTACGAACCAAATATGACAGTATCATCAAGTTTCCAGAATGATCAATTACTGAAAGTTAGCATTGAATGTTTTCTCAGGCTTTGATTACTGTGCATACAATATTCTTTGATCCGATATTCCCTATGTTGCAAAACACAGGACTTATAAAAACATTTGTCAACTACTTTATCAATCAATTTAAGTTGTTAGTATGCTTTGGACATTTGCAGAATTATTTTTGTTACCACAGGAAATGGACCACCAAGAGAGGGATAAAGCAGGACACAAAAAAACACAGCAAAAAGAATTAACAATAAAATAGAAAATAAAAACTGTTTAATCTTCATGCTAATAGAGTGAACAATGTTCCAGACAGCCACTATACAAAGCTGCATGCTCAACCAGGCTAAATGGGACATTATCACCTACCGACATGCAGTAAAATGGATAGTACAATATCCAAAAGGATTATTAAGAGAGGTCAAAGCTAATTCAGCCAGCCAAATAAGTCTATAATTCACTTTCCTTAATTCCCTGCTCCATTTCCTGGATCTATCCATTTAAAGATGCCTTCTCTATTAAATGTTGAAAGGCCAACAAAGCAGAGAAGCTGTTCATATTTAGTCTTGGCACTGAGAGGGATGGGCAGGCCATTTATCATCTGGAGATGTTAATGTGTCTGCCCTCACTGCCAAGAACAGAGAAGGCTGTAGACAAAGGACAGATATAACAGCTCTATCATTGAAACGCTTAGACATATAGAGGAGTAGTTCTCATCTGAGGAGGCCAATATAAAAGCTGCTGAACCATCTCCCTGTGTTGGTGACAGCAACAGGCTCCAAGCATATGTTTGGAACATGATCTGATCTGACCGACGCTGCCACCATTTGCAGTGTTTCTTACATCTACTCACTGCTCGAAAACATAGCACGCAAGCATACATGAGCGATGACATAACACCACGTCGACAAAGACAGTCAGATGGTAACATTATTCTGTCTTGTTTGTGGTGATGTAAATCCTCCTGGAAGGGTTACGAGCAGAAACTGGTTGCTGAGATTGAAAATAATCCACCGTGGTTTGAGGCATCTGGGAGATTTAAATTTTGTGCTCTCACAGACATATTAATCAAATTTTATCAGCCATACAGTATTTCATTTTTAAAGACAGAGGCCTCTAAGATATGTAGGTTGGGCTGTGACGATTAATGATGTTATCCTGCTAATTTATGGCAGAATATTATTTGAAACACTGCTGCACATTGGCTAATAAGAAAAATGGTGGGATCTTGCAAATAGAGTCACTGACCTAATATTTATTTGTTGTTTATGTTTCATTTTATCAGGCTACCGCAGAGACATTTTGTACAAATTCAACTATATCTATTTAGCGTACAGACATGAGAGTGTGATCCCTCTTCTAAGCTAACTCTTAAGAAAGTAAACAAGCACATTACACAAAATGTCAAACCATACCTATATTTAGGCCACAAATCCAGTCAGCTAGCATAATACAGGTGGTGGCATGTCTGCAAGGCTTTGACAATGAATTAAATTTGACTGGTTCTGGAGATAGAACACACCATCTCCATTTCAAATACGCTACACTAAAGGTGTTGATCTATTTTACACCATGAGCTCTCCGTGACCAGTCAAACCTGAGCTTATTCAGACAGCATTACAGCATGCTTTTCGTGCAAGTCATCCATACTGCCATGTCTGTAAGGATAGAGTTTCCACAACATAAAAGAGTTTAGAAGCCGGGGACTAATTCAGGAACCAACAGGAGAAAAGCAGTTTCTTATCGTGGGAATGTCTTGTATTGGTCAGTGACCCAAACATCAGGAATCAAAAAGTCAAAATGATTCTTTACACTGACTCTACAGTTGTTATGGAAACTCTGCAGCACAATTTGAGGATATCAATCTGCTGTGCCTTCATACAGTTGTTGAACTAAAACTATGTTTAGCTCAGAGTTTTAGCAGCGGAAAACAGCCGCCTGGTCAGCAGCACTGCTCAGCATATCACAGCTTAACCAACAGGGCTCTTCCAGTATCATCATCCCACTTCATCACAGCGCCTGACGGCTGTCTGCCGGGTGTGCACTCGCTGTGCAGTGTGCTTCAATACAGTGCACTCAACAAGAGTTCAAATGTTGACCTTCCCTAAGCTGTTTGCTTCCCAAAGCTAGCTCTGTGCTCACTACTCACACTCTCAGCCTGAATGATCAATCTGCATCTCTGGAAGTGAAGAGAGAAGGGGGTGGGGGCACAGGGGCCGTCAATCATCAAAGAACCAGCTCATTGGTTGCATGGAGAAGTGCACAAGGGGGTACAGTGGGATTTGCCTCCTTTTTACAACATAGTGTGGCTGTCTGTGAATGTCTTATTATTATTAAAGAGGACCAATAATGTTGAACACAGCAGGAGAAAAAAACAGGGGGTAGCTTTAGACATTCACATGACACGCAGTACAGTTAGACAAAACACAATACTGACATGCTCTGTTAGTATGTGGCCTAAAAAAACCTCAATTCAATAATAAGAAATAAGTTCAGGAAAAATCAGTCTTACCTGAGTGAGTTCAGGTATGTCATTTTTGTCTATTCCCACTTGCTGTAAAATAAGACAGTGACATTTCAATGCAACAGCAACATTTAGCTATTCTTCAGTGATGTAATGTGCTCTGCAGGCTACCTCAGCAATTTTGAAGAATTCTGAAACCCGAGTCATTCGCGTCAGGAATCTTTTGTAGATCTCCAGCCCGTCTTTACACTGGCTCCTCTTCATCTGGAAAAATTTCTCTGGACAGACCACAGCGACCCGGAAACATGAATTTGTATCCCCCGTAAAGTTAAAGAATCAGTCTGGTGATATTTTATGTATTTCTTTTTTGTGGACAAATCCCATGAAAAAGATCAAAACCAACAATGAATTGATCCTACTAACAAGTAGTGTCTGTTTAGCCAAAGCCTCACCATTGTGTCCAAAAACTGTTAAAAACACAGAGGCAAGCCAAACCATTGCACTGGGTTACATGTTCATTCATTACATGGACATGTGCACTGTAGTTTGGTTTGACTTTATCCCACATACACTGTTCTGCTGCTGTAAATACTCTAGATCACCAAATCTGGGGCAAAAAAACAGTCCCCCAAAATACATAATTTACTCCTGTTTGAATAACATTCACTAAAAAGTACACTGCTCAGCTGTTTTAGCCTTGTGAAAAAATAGAACTATGTATTTGTGACCCAATTGGAACAAATGGCTTGGGGCTGAGTGCAACTGGCAGTGTAGGTAAGGTGGAAAGTATTGATGGTTGATGGTTTTGTTGTTTTCACGGCATGTGTAAATATACATCTATACCATAACCATAGCCTTATTCTTTAAGGGCACAGTGATAAAGCGAAAATATTGATGATTCTTTACCTAGCAGGTTAATGATGCCGTCATTGTAGCAGGCATATAATTTGATCAGATCTTTGAAGAGTAGGAGAAAGCAGGCATTTATCACTCCATTGTTCAGTTCTTGTGCATGCACCTATGGACAGAAATGCGTGGTTAGGATTTTGACGACAAACAGATGAAACATAATACAGCTTTTAAAAACTTACAAGCAGTATTAAATGAAATTTCATCAAAGGCAGATACAGCATAATACTGATGAAATGGATAACACAGATGTAGTCTGTAATCGCAATGGTATATTTTGAAGGTATTGCAAATAGAGAATTTTATATTACATACCGATGAATTTGAAGACTGAAATCTACACAATTGAAATACAGTACATGTGTTGTTTCAGTTATAGAAGACATTAAATTCAACCCTACATGTGAAAGGGGCTGACATGTCTTCATAGATGCTGCTATAGCACTAAGCTTTTGTTGGACCCAGCGGGCAGCTTTTTTTTCCTCACTGTGCTTATCCCTCAGCAAATTCGGTAACCTTGCAAAGTGACTTTGTTCCCTATTACGGAGTGTCACTCACATCAAAATCCAGCAGTGCGTCGATCTGGCTCTGCAGGGTTGGCATTCCTTTCAACAGCTTCTCTACTGACATGGTCCTCATCACTCCGTCAGCTCTGAGACGGAGGAAGAAATAAATAACGTGAGAATTCGCCAGCAGCTCTCAGACAGAGAGGCCCACATACTATTTGCCTGCCAACACATATCTGTCTGTACCTGTCACACATACAGTATCCACCAACATGTCTTATCTCTATTCTGTAGTCTGCATTTGTATTTTTCTGTCTGTCTGATTTTGTCTGCCATCTAACAGCACTCAGTACATACAGTAAAGCTATATACTTGGCCCAGCGCCAGGCTGGAGGTAGTTGAGTCCATCCAACGCAGGACCCCAGTGGGATGTGTGTTATTCTGATCAATATGAAGGGCAAGTAAGAAAGGGTCATGTTCTGGCCCTGGATAAACTAACAAAGCATTTTAAAAAGACAAAAAATCAATAATAATGCTTAAATTGTCATGCAGCAAGGAGATGTTGAGAGAAATGAGAAACGCTACCCCTTCTTGACTCGCACAAAATCGAAAGCCATCTGTCTGTAGGCGAAGGCCTTCTCGTTCAAGTAGCGGCTGTAGCGTCTGATGAACGTGGACATGTCATAGCCTGAAGAAGACACTCAAATGTAAAACACATGCACAGTCTTCAATGTCAGCTCAGTGTAGGGTATTGTAGGCTCTTCAAAGGCTTACAAAAAAACCCAACTTAAAGTCAAGATGTTACAAAGTTTCTTAAATACAATTGTAGGGAGTATTTGCACCTATGAGAAAATATACTGTACGAATGATAAAATGCATTTGGTGGATCTCAGTTTTTAAAAGAAGTCAAACATGATTATAAAACACTTGTTTGTTGATACCACTCCCGTTAGCATGAAGCTAAAGTGGTGCCGATTAGTTTATTATAAAATCTAGAAGCAGTTGGAAACCACTGGCCTGGCACTGTCTAAAGGTAAAAAAAGGTACCTTCTAGCGTCTCTAAAGCTCACTAATTATTATCTTGTTTGTTTGTTTGAGCCGCAAAATCCAACGCGTAAAAACAACAAGTTGTGGTGTGAGAGAGTCAGTTTAGCTGTTTCGCCTTGCTTCCAGTATTCATGCTAAGCTAAGCTAATCATCTGTCTGTAGCTTCATGTTTAACAGACAGGTATGAGAGTGGAATCCATCTTCATCAGTCTCTCTTGTCTGTATTCTAAATTTGAAGCTAGAGCAAGGAGAAGATTAGCTTAGCTTAAAGACAGAAGCAGGGGGAAACACTAGTGAGGCTCTGTTGAAAGGCAAAATATCTAAAGCTTTAGAGGTGTTGATAGAGAGTAGTATTGATCTTCTCATCTATCTGTTGAAGCTAAAAGTTTAACTATTTTCTTAACACTGTGAGACAATGCTAAGATTACTACTGAAATGTTAAATGTTATCCTGATTATGTAGTTTTTAAAATTGGGTTTTCTCAACTGTCACCCCACAAGACAAAATGTCCATGAAAACAGACTGTGAGCCCAGTGTTTATCAACGTGGGAGAAGGCATTCATTTCCATGGTGATGGGTTTATTTGAGGGGAGCAGGGATTAGGACAGCTAGCACTGATGTATAGAGGAGTGAGTTTGGTGATAACATTCAAGCTTATTGCAACTGCTTAAAAACATCTGTTAAATGTTAAATGTAACTGTCAGAGGGAGGGTGGAACACAAAAACAAAGGGCGAAGGAAAGAACATATGGTCGAATCGTTGTTGAAAGTGGTGAAGGGCTGGTTTAGTCAAAGATAAGAAGGAAAGAAACACCACCCACCGTGGGAGCCAGTTTTGTCCAGGAAGTTGCTGAGGTTGAACAGGGTGTTTCTAGACGCCAGGAACTGCAGGAATCTCTGTAGGAGAAGACAAATGCACAGGCTTTAGTTCTCTGCCAGGCACTAAACCAGGCACTAAACCATTTACATATGGTGAAATGCCTCTAATTTTGCCTCTAATATTGCAGAGTCGCAGTCTAACACACTTCTCTGCTCCTCCATTCCAGGAGTTACTTAGTGAAAATCCTATAGTGACAGTGTCTGTCCCCCGACCATTGAAATGATTTAAATCAAAGGTAAACAGAAGAGGAGCTGTGCATAAAAATCTCATAAAAATTAAACCCACAAGAGCAATAGTGCAAACTAATAGTAAAATTAATTGTGGACTCTTAAACATCAGATCTCTCTCTTCTAAAGCTGTACTAGTAAATTAACTAATATCAGATTATGATATTGATTTATTTTGTCTTACTGAAACCTGGCTGGGTGATGGAGAATATGTTAGCCTAAATGAATCCACCCCTCCCAGTCATATTAATACTCACATTCCTCGAGGCACAGGCCGAGGAGGTGGAGATGCAGCTATCTTCGACTCCAGCCTACTAATCAGCTCTAAACCTAAACTAAATTATAACTCATTTGAAAGCCTTGTTCTTAGTCTTTTACACCCAAGTTGGAAATCACTGCAACCAATTCTTTTTGTTATAGTGTATCGAGCACCTGGCCCGTACTCTGAATTATTATCTGAATTTGCGTTTGAGTTTTTGTCAACTTTAGTCCTTAAAACTGACAAAGTTATTATTGTAGTGGATTTTAATATTCACGTGGACGTTGAGAATGACAGCTTCAGTACTGCGTTTATCTCTCTGTTAGATTCCATTGGCTTCTTTCAGAGTGTTCATGAACCGACTCACTGTTTTAACCACACCCTCGACCTTGTTTTGGTGTATGGTATTGAAATTGAACATTTAATAGTGTTCCCACAGAATCACTCTTTATCCGACCACTGTTTGATAACTTTTGAGTTTGTATTGCTGAACTACACGCCATTGGGCAAAAATTCTGTCTGTCTGATAGTGCTGTAGCTAAATTTAAGGATGCGATTCCATCAGCTCTAAATTCATTATCAAGTCACAAAGTAACGGAGGACTCCTATGCTAATTTCAGTCCCTCCCAAATCAATCATCTTGTTGATAGTACTGCAGGCTCGCTGCGAATGACACTCGACTCTGTAGCCCCTCTAAAAAAGAAAATATTAAAACAAAGACGGTTAGCTCCATGGTATAATATAATATAAGAAACTTGAGAGGAATTGGCGTTCCACCAAACTGGAAAATTCTCGTTTAATTTGGCAAGATAGTCTTAAAACTTATAGGAAGGTCCTCCGTAATGCCAGAGCAGCATACTACTCGTCATTAATAGAGGAAAATAGGAACAACCCCAGGTTTCTTTTCAGCACTGTAGCCAGGCTGACAGAGAGTCACAGCTCTATTGAGCCAAGTATTCCCATAGCTCTCAGTAGTTACGACTTCATGAGCTTCTTTAATGATAAAATTCTAACAAAATTCACTATGACCTGCCCTCAACTGCCACTGACTAGTCTCTAGGCTCCTTGGAAACAACTGTAAAGCCAGATATATGTTTAGACTGCTTTGCTTCCCTCAATCTTTACCAACTAATAATAATTTCTTCATCTAAACCATCAACCTGCCTTTTAGACCCCATCCCGACTAGGCTGCTTAAAGAGGTTTTACCCTTAGTCAGCACCTCTATACTAGATATGATCAATCTATCTCTATCAACAGGCTATGTACCACAGTACTTTAAAGTAGCTGTAATTAAACCTCTTCTGAAAAATCCCAAATTGATCTGGATGTTTTAACCAACTATAGACCTATATCTAACCTTCCATTTCTCTCTAAGGTCCTGGAGAAAGCAGTTGCTAAACAGCTGTGTGACTTTCTACAGAGCAATAGTTTATTTGAGGATTTTCAGTCAGGATTTAGAGCTCATCATAGCACAGAGACAGCACTGGTGAAAATTACTAATGACCTCCTTATTGCATCAGACAAAGGACTTGTCTCTGTACTGGTTTTATTAGATCTTAGTGCTGCATTTGATACCATTGACCATCAGATCCTATTGCAGAGACTGGAACATTTCATTGGCATAAAAGGAACCGCTCTAAGCTGGTTTAAGTCCTATTTATCAGATCGATTTCAGTTTGTACATGTTAACGATGAGTCCTCCATGCATGCCAAAGTTAGTTATGGAGTTCCACCAGGATCTGTCCTTGGACCAATCCTGTTCACTTTATAGATGCTTCCTTTAGGCAATATTATCAGGAAATATTTCATAACTTTCATTGTTATGCAGATGATACTCAGTTATATCTATCGATCGAGCCAGATGAAACTCATCAGTTAGCTAAACTTCAAATGTGCCTTCAGGATGCTAAAACCTGGATGTTAAACTCAGATAAAACTGAATTTATTGTTCTGGGGCCCAGGCACCTCCGTGACGCATTATCTAAAGATATAGTTTCCCTTGATGGCATCGCCATGGCCTCCAGCACCACCGTGAGGAATCTTGGAGCTATATTTGATCAGGACAAACAAATTTCAAGGAACGCCTTTTTTCACCTACGTAATATTGCAAATATCAGGAACATCCTATCTAAAAATGAGAAAAAAAACTAGTCCATGCATTTGTTACTTCTAGGCTGGATTACTGCAATTTCTTATTATCAAGCTGCTAGAAAAAGTCCATTAAGACTCTTCAGCTGATCCAGAATGCTGCAGCACGCGTTCTGACAGGAACCAGGAAAATAGATCACATTTCTCCTGTTTTAGCTTCTTTACATTGGCTTCCAGTAAAATCTAGAATAGAATTTAAAATCATTCTTCTCACATACAAAGCTCTTAATGGTCAGGCACCATCTTATCTTAAAGAGCTCATAGTACCTTACTACCCCACCAGAGCACTGCGCTCCCAGAATGCAGGGTTACTTGTGGTTCTTAGAGTCTCCAAAAGTAGACTAGGAGCCAGAGCGTTCAGCTATCAAGCTCCTCTCCTGTGGAACCAGGTTCCAGTTTGGGTTCAGGAGGCAGACACCATCTCCACATTTAAGAGTAGGCTTAAGACTTTCCTCTTTGATAAAGCTTATAGTTAGGGCTGGCTCAGGTTAGTCCTGAACCATCCCTTAGTCATGCTGCTATAGGCCTAGACTGCCGGGGGATTTCCCATGATGCTATTATTGCTACTTTCTCTCCCTCTGTATGCAACCTCATCCCATTAATGCATGTTACTAACTCGACTTCTTCCTTTTCCGGTAGTCTTGTGCTTTCTCATCTCTCTCCTCTCTCCTCCTATCACTTCCTGCAGGTGTTTCTGGCTCTGGAGCTGTGGAGTCTGGATCTGTGGCTGTGGGTCACCTGCTGCCCCCGTGTTCCTGCTCGACACCCTCTGCTACAACTATTGTTACTAGTCCTATTATTATTATTGTTATTATAATCATTAACATTACGATTATTATCATTAACACTACTTTAAAAATCTGTACCATTTTTCATTTAGTCTATAGCAACATCACCTTTACTGTCTGTACCTCTGTGTGTGTATATTGTGTAGGCTGCCTCCCTCCCCTCTCTCTCTCTCCATCTCTCTGTTCCTCTCTCTCCCTCTCTCTCTCTCTCTCCTTCACCCCAACCGGTCGAGGCAGATGGCCGCCCACCCTGAGCCATGGTTCTGCTCGAGGTTTCTGCCTCTTAAAAGGAAGTTTTTCCTTGCCTCTGTCGCCTAGTGCTTGCTCTTGGTGGGAATTGTTGGGCTTCTGAAAATAAAATCATAGAGTATGGTCTAGACCTGCTCTTTTATGAAAAGCACTGTGAGATAACTGTTAAAATAAAACTGAATTGAATTGAATTGAATTAATTTTGGCTGAGACAAAAACTACTTAAATTACATAGCATTTTCTTTTTAATGAAAACTTGTGATTTTGGTTGTGGTCATGTTGCAGTGGAGAAAAATCCCAGATTTAAGACAATATGGTGTCTCACTAAAAAACTGTGAACATCTTTACTGTCCTTGAAAAAAAATAAATTTTCATCAATTCAAAAATACCCATAGATTACACCTCACAGTTAGGAATAAACCTATTATATCCCAGCAGTCATGGATTGTTATTGTTATGATAATTTTCAAACATCTTAAATATAAGAACGGAAGGCTAGTTTGATGTTCATAGCTATCGTGAAAGGACTGTTGAGCACTTTCAGCCCTCTACACACAACCTGTGAAACTGCCTGTAGCAGAAAGTGGAATTAATATAAGATGTGTGATTCTATACGTATCGTTTTTCATTAGTGTTTAGAGAGAAATCCAACAATAAAGGAGCAATGCTGCAGTCTTTGTGAGTGGGAGGGTGTGAATGTGAGTTAGACACAAGGGGAGGACAAAGAAACATAGCATAATAAAGACAAATAGGCTTCCCTCTGCAGACCTGCAAGAACAAGCTTACTCCAGTGACACACATGGACATAACATCCCTCCCACCTACACACACACACACACATACACACACACTGTGCTGATGCTTACAAAGTGGCCTCATTTACATAAAACAGAGCATACCAACATGCGGGGAGGTTAAGAATGAAAAGTCCTCCCTGGAGAAATGTTGAGCGACACATTATGTGCCCTCCTCACTCACTTTCATTCTCTCTCCCTCGCCAGTCAGTACTCTGTCTCTATCATTATCAGGGACGCAACAACAGCAAAGCCCTGACTAAAAACAAACAGCCCTCAGGAGACAGAGGGTACATACCGTATGCGTATATTGCCTTGTCAAACATAATTTCATGACTCACGCACATGTATGACACTGTCCCTTTGAGCTTTGGGGTCCATATCACACAGATAGCAACACAAACGTGGGGGAAAAAAGACTATTATTAACACACAAACTGAGCTTATTTATTTGTGAAATACGTGTGTGTGTGTGCATGTGGGAGGGGTCCAACCCTTTCTGGTCCAGGGCAACACAACTTACCCTTTCCCCCTGTCACCTGCTGTATCGACTACAAAGGTTAAATCTATTATCTTCAGATCACCAAAGAATGGCTAAATGAGATGATGGTTTGATCTCACAGTATTTCTCTTTGTCTCCTCATTCTCCATGTACTACAGCCTATTCTCTCTCTCTCTCTTCCTATCAAATATTTCAGCCCTTCCTGTCATTGCTGCATCAATATCTGTTTCTCTCTCTCTCTCTCTCTCTCTCTCTCTCTCCTGTGTGTCATCTGAAATTCAGTGGCAGCTTGGACACTTTGAAGGGGAGTAAAGGAGCTTCTGTTTATCTCTCTGAGTGATCCCCTGTTGCCTATTCAGAGATTTTCTTCAGCTGTCAGGATAAATTGGTGTCAGTGGGTCAGTCCCAGGAAGCAGAAGGTCAGTCCCTTTGGTAATACCATGACTGCTGTTGGGGGCCAAAATATACAACTATGGAGCAAAAGTAAACATTTAAAGGGTACTGTGCAGAGAAGATCTTTGAGTGAAGTAATGCCAGTTATTCATAAAGTAATCTATAAATATACATGGCCAATTATGAACTATTCTGAATGCATGTTATAACCCTTTCCTATCAGCACACAGTCACTGCCAAAAGCACATTAAAATCCAGTTTTCACCTTATATAGGTGTTATGCGTTCGTAAACAGTTGCTCATTTACACCTCCAGCAGACATGAGGCAACATTAGTATTCATTTAGAGTCGTGTTCCTGTCCACCTGGTGAATGTATATTCAAATATTCACTCTCCTCTTAGCTTTGTTTTGGTCTCTATCAATTATCATCTTTAGCTGCTACATGCTCCACAGCTAGTCTCTAACTGTGCTGTTTTGTTCTCGGCAGGCAGCGCACACTAAACCGACACAGTGAAACTGTGCGTGAAACCAAACCAATGAGCTGAAAGAGGCTGAAACGCTCTGTAAACCTGAGAGTAAGGAGGTAATTCTCTCTCTCTCTTTTCATCACTACAACTAGCACCTTTCACCTTATACAGCCATATAAAACAAATTTAAAATATTGATTAGTGCAACTTTAAGGTTGGAAAAATCCCCTTATTCCACAAAGTCAGACAGCAGCACATGTTCATATCAATTTGTTCCAGCTCTTCATTGAAGCTATTTTACGGCTGCAAACATCCAATCTAATCAAATATCATAGATGTTTTGTGAATACTTTTATTCACATTTACCCAAAATTCAGCCTGACCTATTTGGTGTCTTTTGAAACTCTGGGATCTCTCCCAAAACTAAAATATGGTTATGTGGGTTTAAACAATGTTTGAAGAGGTTAAAATATGAATTCACTGGGTTTGTGGAAATGAACTGATAAACAAAGAATTGTTAACTAAACACTTGTGTTGTTGTTTTTAACCAAACATAGCATGACTGTTGCACATTTCACCTGTGATATTAGTATGCTGATAAGTTATTTCCAGCCTTTTAGACTCATAACATGGTTGAATGAATAGAGATCAAAACTACAGCTTGTACTTGCATGCATGAAAGGCAATCTGTGCTTCCGCTACAGTGTGATTTCAAGCAGGTATTCGTAGCTTGCGCCTTGTGTGGAAAGTTGACTGAGCAGTGAATGACTTATCCAGTCCTACTTTACCTCTCACAGCTTTCCAGTACAACCTGCCTTTACTGCGCGCTACAACCCCAGTATGGTGGTCAGTGCATCAGCTGAGGTAAAGTGTCTTGCTCAAGGGAAGGCACTTCCCCTGACTACATTTTACCAAACGGTAAAACCAGCAACCAACATATTTGTGCATTCAGAATGCATGTAATCAGCACGTTATAACCTTACCTCGTTGCCATGCACCATGAGGTGGTGTGTAGTGATCAGTGCTTTGAAAACCACCACCCAGCTGGCGTTGCCGGCCCTCTCCATCAAAGTGTCGGCCATCTGGGGGACATTCACATTGGTCTCCTGGGTGGCCTGGATCAGGTCTGAGAAGCATAGAGGAGAGGAGGAACAGGGGGTCAGATGGTGGCAGTATTAGCAGGGGAGAGGCTCAGCACAGGTACAGCGTGTACTGAAAGCCTTTTATTCAGGTAATGACACCACAAACCACTGCAGGGATGAGAGAGAAGAAGACAGATGGGTGAGAAATGACAAACAGGAGTGTGCTATAGTAAATGTGAGGGCGATGCTGCATTTTACAGCCGCACTATCCTTCATCCTTATTTTCACTTTAATACGCCATATGCACGCCCCTGAGCAGTGTGTCTTCAAATATGCAAATAGCTCATTTTAAGATATTGTCAGAGACAATTCTCCTAGCATCAAACCATAAATCATATGGGAGTTTTAGCAAACTAAAGTTGGAGTTTATGTGTCAGTGTTAGGCTAGCTTATTTGTTAATTTTGACAGGTTTCACAGGTTTAATATCTGGCTAAATGTGTTAATTCCTCGTATTTTATCAATTGGATGCCTATTTAGTAAGTAGGCTTATCTGTGCAAGCAAGAGGAGCTACTTTTTATCGACAGAATTGCCTCTGGAAGCTGCCATTTTCCATCTTAATGAAATGTATTTAGATAAGTGCTTCATATTATGCCCCCATTGCCTGGTGTGAGTCACACTGGCTTTGTTCGTTCCTGTAACCAACCGCACAGGCAGAGGGAGAGTGGAATATTCCACAGCAGAGAGATAGAGAGAAACCAAAAGGGAAGAAAGGATTGCAATGCATGAGAATAAGAGACTTTCAGTACAACGGATCAGAATCAGCCAGGCGGGAGATGATGAGACTAACTGTATTACAGCAAATCATCTCCTGTAGATGATTGACTGTAAATCCACGTTGATAGGTCTATGATGATGCTAAGCCACCTTTTCCATGTTGTCAAGTGCATTGTTAAATAATCAGTTATAATTAAACATAATACGTTACTTAAGCACACTGGTGTGCATATAATTCATCTTATGGGAAAATACTTCCACTAGATGTAGCACTAGAGCACCAGCATGTCAGACCAAAACAAATGGATGCGTCAGACACACAACTATTTAAAGCTGCACTTAATGATGCTTTTATATTAACAAGCAGCTGTTTTCAGAAAAAGACCCTCTAAAATGTATGTTATGTGTACCAGTTATTATATTGAAGTCATCATTGATTTTTTAGGAAACATCATGCATTTATCTACCTTTTATTATCGAATACAAAAACTCCCAAATAGCCCATGAAAAAAGAAATAGTAATCCAGCGTCACTAACTAACAGCATCTTGGAGTTCAAGAGGAAGACAGCAACACAGTGTTTGCCCATGTTTACTGCATAGGTGGGCTTTTGGTCCGCTGAAGGGGCTCTGTGTGTTGATGACAACTCGTGGTGCTACAAAATGCTGATATTCAACTGTGATGTTCTGTCGGGAGATGCAGTAATTTAACCAATGGTGAATAAGTAAAAGTAGAAATAAGTGTAATCATATATCGTCTGTTAGCCGCTAGGCTAATTAAAGTAGTGTAAAATGCTTTAAGTTTAAGCTAATAATGGTGACTAGCTTAAGCAGTTATAAAATGCCCGGTCATCGGGGCTTGAGCTGAGGAAACATGCCACAGTCTGGCTGAGAGTGAGTTTGGGCTTTTAGGGAGGAGCCACCGCTGGAGAGGAAAGGGGTGCGCTGGATATATAACAAGACAAAACGAGAGCATCATTGCAAAACGGAATGTGGCAAAATAATTGTCTTATTTATCTTGTTTTCATGATCAAGCCAAAAACATAACTGAAAACAAAAATTAGCTGGATGTGCTTGCTAACATATTTGGTGAAAGGTGATTCGGTAACAATATGTAGATTTAAAACAGTTTGTTCTGCTGCCCCCAAATGTATTAATGCTGCTTTAATTTTAAAATGCACGAATAACTAGCCATATTTTGATAACAGCTAATTTCCATTACTAAAACCAACTTTAAACCTGAATAATACTGGATTTATTGTTGTTGGAGCACTGAAGTGAACAGTCCCTCTGCACTAGTACTAATTTTGGTCTCACTGTGATACATGTGTTTATATAGCACTTAGTAATTTAACAGGTAAGTTGACCACGAGGACAGTCAGCCAAAAGCTTAGCATACCTTGCTAATACCCAATAAATTAGACCTATGTGTAATTATGTTTCCTTCTTCCTGTTTATTAGCGTCTTTCAGATAACAGTAAAGCCTAAGTGAAAAATATCTATTCACTGTAAAATAGGAAAGCTGCCCTCCATTGTAAACAGGGTATTTCTTCAGAGACGGCGTGAGGAATGGGATAAGTGGTTGTGTATGCAGAGTGATGGACGCAGAGGGAGAGCAAACATGACCTGTGTCAATTTAAAAGCCTTTATTCAACTACTATTGAGTCCTGTGATTCATTAATAGTGTCATATCCATTTCAACACATTTACTGCTGGCAGACTGGGAGGCAGATGAGAAGTGTCTATTGAATTTTCCTCCCTGGCTTAATATAGACTAAATGCCAGTACACCTCACACCCAGCAAGCTTCACACATGAAGCAATGAGCAATATGGGAGCAATTAAATCAAGTGAGTGTTTGAAACAACTCTTATAAAAGACTGTTTTGACAGCTTTTTATAGTGTTGATGTTGTATTTTGGAAGGGTACAAAACATGCAAAAGCTTACTAATAAGGCAACAAGCAAAGGCTCAGATACCCACATACACTGCATTGGTGCTGTAAATGCTCCCTTTTAAGCACCAAATGTGTATTACTCCACGGGTGAATGTAGTTTCCAAGAAATACATAATTTACTCCTATTTGAGTAACGTTTACTAAAAAGTACAATGCCCAGCTGTCTTAGGAATTTACATGGCTATTATTTTAAAATACATATTTGTGTTGTGCTGTTTTTACAGGTTTATATCTTCAGTAGTAAAGAAAGGGCTTTGGGCGGAGTGCCCCTGACAGGGTAGGGAAATCAGAAAATATGGAGGAACTAATGCATTGTTGGTTTGTCTTTTTTAAGGTCTTTGTTCAAAAATAAAATAATATAGAAAACACCAGTCTCATTTTTGAAAACTTAAAGCACTTTCAGCACAATTACAAACCATGCTACAACTTTTCAAAGCAATATAACACATTATAACAGCTCCAAAGACTAAAAGACAAATGATCTACACCCACCTTGCAAATGCAAGCTACACAACAAAACTTCAAAAAATCACGAGATCTGTCAGAGACAAACATACCTAAAGACAAACAGATATGATGCACTTACAGTATATGGGATTGACTAATTGGTTTAAAAGCTAATATAATCCACCATTGTATCAGTTTTTGCAATGGGAATATAGTTACTTCAAACTGATCAAATTGGAAGCAATTTTTATGTGTTAGCGTGTTTACATTTATATCATTATTATTTCTAACCCTTGTTGGTTTTTGTGATTGGTGCGTCCCAAAAACAATCTTCTGAGGGTAGATTAGTTTACATTCAGACTCAACCCATGGAGAATCTTAGGATTTAGTCAGCATCTTTGACATGAAAGGGAACTTTAGAATGTGCTCATCATATACTGACGTGTTACTGTAATATTATTATTTTTCCCAGTGACTAGTAGTGTAAGGGATTACTATTTCCCAAACACTAATAATTTTACAGTTACTAAACCTAAGTAACGCTGCGTCACCGGAAAGCGCCATCCTTGACGTGAATGTGCAACTGCTCAGCAGGTCAGCAAACATTTCTACATCTAATTTACTGAAGCATCAGCTAAAGCAGCACAGCAATGTGAAACAAAAACACTCTGGCCGATATTGCCAGTGATGCATGCACTCATAACTTATTACAATTTCCAACAACGATACTGACCAACATTTTTTTTTTCAAAGTGGCTTAATTTTAAAACAACTGCCTTAAAGACAACCCCAAGTCATGTGGATGACAGTTTTTTGTGGCATTTTGAGTGATTAGATGATAAATTCTAATGCTTATAATGCATGTTTCTATTACCATGAATAAATCCAGTCCAACAGCCCGCAGCAGGTGTAGCTTTAAAGGCAAATGGATGAATTATCATGCAAAAACGCATTCAAGGTCACTTTACATTGACAGTCATACTACAAGTCCGCTAGCACTTTTGCTTCCCCTATCATGCTTTCATCGTGCAGCAATGATTGCTGTGCATGTCCTCTTCAGTAGTAAGGCAGCAGATACACACACGCATAAACACACACACACACACACACACACACTCAGAGAGAGAGATAATCCCTACAGGGCTGATGAGTCAGCTGCCTGCATCATCCTACACTTTTCATCACTCCGTCTCCGTCTGTCAGCCTGTCTGTCTCTCTCTGCCAGTCTCTCTCTGTATTTCCCACTGTGGGGGTCCAGACTGTGAAACAAACTGCACAGCCACAACTATTTAATATCTACATAAATAGTTCCCTTAAATCTACTGTAAATCATGTCCTAATATAATAGTAAATGTACAGATTATGGTAGTATTTGTTGCCAGTTGGCCATTGCTTTTAAACTGTGGTTGTCAATCAAACAGTGGTTCTATGCTAAGACATTTCTTTTCTTTATCTGTTCAGCCATCGCTGCCCACGATAAAAGCTGATGAACCGTTATGATAAAACCTTCCGTGAACTCACTATTTAATGAATCTCCAATGTTTCTAACAGTGAACTGAAAATGTGCTGGTTTTAGTCTTGGGTAATATTTACACATGCGCTAGGACCGAATCCTAATCCTGTTGGAGAGAGACAGAGAAACAGGCAGAGAGCCTCTGTTCTGATTGAGATGCTGAACAACGATTCAACAGGAACTCCTGACTCACCGTCTCCTCCCTACCTTCCTTCTCAATTATTCATATGTGTGAGTGTGAGTAAGAAAGAGACACGAGGAGAAAGAACGAGAGTGCAAGGCAGCTCGATATGTGGCCCTTGTCAAGCGTAGCGCACGCAGATAGTCACGCTAACGATCTCTTGCAAGCTTGGAT